AAATTGAAAAAGTGTAAATGACTTAAAAAACAGTATAAATACCAATAAGAAATTTAAGGAAAAAGATAATATGATTTTGTATTGAAAAATACAGAGTAAATGAAGACGTTGTAAGACATTTTACCATTTCATAAAGGTACATAAATTTCTATTATTATGTAAAATATGCTTAGTATTATTAAGTCCAAAAACAAAGCCTCAAGAAAAAATCAATTCACATTCAGTAAAATTACTCTGATTTAGTAAGAGATAATTGTTGACAGGAATGTGAAATATATAAAATTTTCATATACTTGTAATAAAATAGTGCTGCCACTCTGAAAACAACTGGCAGTTTCTGAACATAGTTTACATAGAATTGTCACAATGACCCAACAATTCCAACCCCAGAAATGCCAGTAAAAGATATGAAACCCACATGGACACAAAAGGCTTATTACAGCATTACTCATGAAGGCCAAATTTGAAAAATACCCACATTTTGATGTGCAAGATAAACAATGCATGGTATATTTTTATAATCGAATACTATTTGGCAACCAAAATGAATTCAGAAATACCAGGCCACAAATGTAATGAAACTAATAAAAAAGAAACAAAGAGGAATAAATAAAAATATCACACAATGTATTTCTGTATGATTCCAACTTAAGACATTTCCAGAAAAGACAAATTTACTCAATGTCGGATTGAGGGTGGGGTGAATGAGGAGTTCTATAAATAACAAGAAATACTTTGGGATTATGGAAATGTTTTATTTGACTGGGATTATGACTAAGTAACTGCCTAAATACTACAAAGTATGGAATATTCACATAAAACATAAGACAAACATGGCTGGGAAGCCTGACTGACTCCTTCATTTCTAGCTTTAAGGAGGAGTCTGAAGACAAATTAATAGGGGGAGACTTCAATAATCTTGTGAAAATTGAAACTAATATATACTAACCTGGATATAAAAAAGATTTAACACCATGAATACAAAACCTTTTTAAATGTTAATATGCAACACTTAAGAATGATTCATACATTTCAAAAAGCTTATATAACAAAATAAATCCTACCTGCAAACTGTTGAAATCTTTACTCAGTATAGACTTAACCTTCTGTACATAAAGATATTTAAAAATGAATCTTAATGAAAAATGGGATGGGAGATTGAGTAGGAGATGGGATGATTTGTGGGTGGGAGGGTCATTATAGGGGAAACAACTGCTATAATCCAAAAGTTGTACTTTTGAAATTTATATTTATTAAATGCAAGTTTTCATAAAAAAATAAAAAACCCTCTTTATTATTCTGTTTTTTTGTTTTACATTGTCTTAATTCAAGCTTATTCTAAATACACTAAAAATAACACTATTTTTCCCTACATGAAACAATCAAAATGATATATTAAACACCAATTTAAGATAAAGCAATGATTCCTAATCTCTCCACAGAGCATGACAAAAATTAAAATTCAGTTATGTACAGGGGGATTGTCTTAATATTAAGCTATTCCCAAGGATCATAATATTAGGTGCTGTATTAATTTAAACATTTTACCACTCTTAACCGTATATGTTGAATAAGATTCTGGAGATTTTCAGTTTAATTTTGTGAACTATAATTCTACATACTTATGTGCTACAGTGTAGCACGCCAATATATTTATAAAATGTGTACTGATATCGGGTAAGGAGCATTTTCCATTATTTGACATTAATTCATGATTGGAGCCTTTGAGCTCCTTTCTTCTATTTTCTTATAAAATAGAATATTATGAACTATACCAATCCTACTATGAAGTTTAACACTAGGAACATACTTTTATGATATAACTCTAATTTAATACCAATTATTCAACCCATTTTTGCTTTTCAAATTTAATTTATCTAAAAGAAAAAGAGACAAATACACAAATATGCACACTCACACTCAGAAGGAATGCTCCTATCCACTGGTTAACTCTGCAAATAAATGCAGAAGTTGGGGCTGGGCTAGGCTAGGCTGAGGTCAGAAGACATGAACTCAATCCAGCTCCTCTACGTGGGTGGACAGGACACAACTACTTGAGCCATTACCATTCATTTCCAAAGCAAAAATTATCAGGAAGCCATAATTGGGATCAGGGACTCTAAGCAATGCAATGCAATGTGGGATTTAGGCAAACCAAGAAGGATTTTTAACAGTGCCCAATTTAAACCCTTCCACAAAATTTTCAAAGAGCTTAATATATCCTTGGCTTTGAAGGAAAGAGTCAACAGCCATTTGGGCCCAACCCCATCACTGCATACTCCCCTGCTTCCCTTCATTCAACACTCCTGGCTTCCCATCATTATAAACTCCCAAAGTTGGCCTCCATCTGCCTGTTTCACTCCTGAGGTCTCTTTCTGCAGATAGAGCAGAGCAACAGAGCACAGAAGCATTGGCCTGGATGATGTAGCAGAAGGTATGGAAAAAATATTGGCCTTTGTCCTTTGGCCCCTGCACCAACTTATGAGACCCAGAAGAAGCTCCTGGCTTTGGATCGGCACAGATACGGCTGATTCGGCCATCTAGGGAGTGAATCACCAGATGGAAGACCTCTCTCTCTGTCTCTACCTCTCTCTGTGACTCATTACACGTGTTTGAAAATAACAGCTTTTAACCTGCAGATATACCATTTCCTAGAAAATTCCTTGTACTCTGTGCCTGTTCTCTTGCCATACCAATGTATTTCTAAGCTCCCACATAACTGCCATGTTGAACATAAAATCATTATACTTTCCCAGACATAAATCTTGAAGTATACATCATTTAAAAACAGCATTCTGTTATTTCTGAAGTGAATGCATCTAAGTATAACTTTCCATCTACCTTAGCTATTTTCCAACAAGACTGATAAAGAAAAATATCTAAATATAGTTGATGTAAATTACATGAAAGTTTGGGATTCTTATCCAGAAAGGACAGCTTAGTGTCCTACCTGCCCAGCCCTGTGTTTGTTTATATCCAAGGGTTTTTGTACATAATAAGTTTCATGCTAAATATAGGAGCAAGATGGAAAAAAGGCAACTGAATTGAGGCAGACATGAAAGTGACACACAAAAGAATCACTTATGGTTGTGGTTAAAAGAAATCTGAAGGGACCAGCCAATTTCTGAGATTTCTGGAGAATTTTTTGTTGATCAGAAAATAAATAAGGCTTTTGCCTTGTTTTGTTCTCTTGTGTAGCAGTGAATATTATGGAATTAGGGAGCCATGTTTGAGAAACACAATAGCCAAGAAAAGAAAATCTTGAGCTACAGAACAAATTCTAACTAAAGATGGAAGAAAACCTAGGAGCACCCTGAAACACTGCACAGGGGCACAGGTGTCGAGGAAGGGAAGATCACATAATAAACAATACATCTTCACATGGGTCATTTCACCTTCTACATTAGAACACACACAAGTCAGAAGAGTAAGCAGGAACATCAGTGATAACTTCAAACAAGAGGCTGTTTCTGAACCATTTAATTATGCTGAGTGAAATAAGCCAATCCCAAAGGGACAAATACCACTTGTTCTCCTTGATAGGTGACAACTAACTGAGCACCAAAAAGGAAACCTGTTAAAGTGAAATGAACACTATGAGAAACGGTGACTTGATCAGCCCTCACCCTGACTGTTGATGAGCAACTTGATATGTTATCCCTCTTAGTATTTTTTTTTATTTGTTCTACTTAATACTTTTGGTTGAATACTGTAATCAATACACAATTATTCTTAAGTGCTGAAACTTAACTGAAAAGTGATCACTGTTAAATATAAGAGTGGGAATAAGAGAGGGAAGAAATGTGCAATTCGGGACATGATCAAGCTGACTTACCTCAAACGGTAGAGTTAGAAACATACCAGGGGATTCCAATTCAATCCCATCAGGGTAGCATGTACCAATGCCATCTCACCAGTCCCAGTGATCAATTTCTGTTCACAACTGATCATAATGATAGGACTAAGAACCAAAGGGATCACATAAACAAGACTAGTGTCTGCAAATACTAAATGATAGAATAAAAAAGAGAGAGAATGATCCAACTTGGGAAGTGAGATACACAGCAGACCAATAGAATGGCAGATGTCCTAAACAGCACTTTGGCCTCAGAATCAGCCCTTAAGGCATGCAGATCCGGCTGAAAAGCCCATGAGACTATTTCAGGCATGGAAAGCCAAGACACTCTGGGGGAAAAAAAAACCTAAATGAAAGATCTCTGCGAGTGAGATCCCAGTGGAAAGAACAAGTCATCAAAGAAGGAGGCACCTTTCTCTGAAGGGAGGAAGGAACTTCCACTTTGACCATGGCCTTGTCTAAAATTATCAGAGTCAGTGAACTCAGGGGGCTTCCATAGCCTTGGCAGCTCATGACAAGAGCCTAGGGTGATTACTGAGGCCATAAACAAGAGTGTCAATTTGTTAAGTCAACAACAGGAGTCACTGTGCACTTACTCCTCATGTAGGATCTTTGTCCTTAGTGTGCTGTACATTGAGATTTAATGCTATAACTAGTACTCAAACAGTATTTTTCACTTTATGTTTCTGTGTGGGAGCAAACTGTTTAAATCTTTACTTAATGTATGCTAAACTGATCTTCTGTATATAAAGAGAATAGAAAATGAATCTTGATGTAAATGGAAGGGGAGAGGGAGTGGGAAAGGGGAGGGTTGCGTGTGGGAGGGACGTTATTGGGGGGAAGCCTTTGTAACCCATAAGCTGTACTTTGGAAATTTATATTCATTAAATAAAAGTTAAAAAAATTTTTTTAAATAAAATTAAAAAAAAAAGAATCAAAAAGGGAGAGAACGATCCAACATGGGAAGCGCGATACACAGCAGACTCAAAGAATGAATGGCAGATGTCCTAAAGAGCACTCTGGCCTCAGAATCAGCCCTTAAGGCATTCGGATATGGCTGAAGAGCCCATGAGAGTATTGTAGACATGGAAAGCCAAGACACTCTGGCAAAAAAAAAAAAAAAAAAAAAAACAAACAACCTAAATGAAAGATCTCTGCGAGTGAGATCCCAGTGGAAAGAATGGGACCATCAAAGAAGGAGGTGCCTTTCTCTGAAGGGAGGAGAGAACTTCCACTTTGACTATGACCCTGTCGGAATAAGATCAAAGTCGGCGAACTCAAAAGGCTTCCATAGCCTTGGCAACTCATGACAAGAGCCTAGGGAGATTACTGATGCCATAAACAAGAGTGTCAATTGTTAAGTCAACAACAGGAGTCACTGTGTACTTACTTCTCATGTGGGATCTGTCCTTAGTGTGTTGTCCAATGTGAAGTAATGCTATAACTAGTACTGAAACAGTATTTTACACTTTGTGTTTCTGTGTGGGTGCAAGCTGATGGAATCTTTATTCAATATATACTAAATCGATCTTCAGTCTCTTAAGATAATCGAAACTGAATCCTGATGTGAATGGAATGGGAGAGGGAGCGGGAGATGGGAGGTGTGTGAGTGGGAGGGAAATTATGGGGGGGGGGAGTCATTGTAATCCATAAACTGAAATTTGGAAATTTATATTTACTAAATAAAAAAAATAGAATTGCCATATGAGAAAGCAAAAAAAAAAAAAAAAAAAGACGAAAATTAAGAGATGACCCTGGGATAGCACCAGCAAGATGCTGCTGACCTGTAGGAACTAAGGTTTAGTTCACTGCATCCCCATAAGGAGCAGACTGTGTCTCTGCCAGCACGAAGGTCATCATTAGATGCTGTTCCTTAAGCCTGGACAAAAACCCTGCACCAAATAAAACTACCTTGCTTTCAACTCACCAGTCTGTGGCACTGCATTATTAGCAACCGAAAACAGTGTCAGACACCTAAAAGAGCAATGCAGAAAGGAAAATGTCTGAAACTGAAACCCTGCTTTCTATGTATTTAGAAAACTATGGTCTAACAGCACTGATGGAGAATAAAGAAGCCTGAAGGTGCCACAAATGATGGCTTCTCCCCTGCAAAAACCCCATACATACACCCATATTCTCTCTGGTCATCCTCCCAAACTCACCACACACTGAGGGAGATGTAGGGCTGCAGGTACATCCCTATTGAGGGATGACTCCAGTAATGAGCAGAGTTACTGGCACAGGGAAGGGACAGGATACCTGGGATCCTAGGTGCCAGGTCACTCTCCAAGCTCAGGGTCACAGGGAACCCAGGAAAATTCTGTGCCACTGGCAATATGGCAACCACACATTCCAGAGATGGCCTTTCGAAGGCTCGGTGTCCTGCCACAGTCTTCTCCCACGGGTTCCACCAGCTCCCCCTTCCCACTCTTGGATGCCCCATCCCATACACTGACCATTTCTGGCTTCAAGGTGTCTGGTGTCCTGTGATCACAGGTCAGACAGCAGTGACGGTGATGTTATCTTGAGTCCCACAGCAGAGGAGCAGTCTCCCTGGTGCTCTGTCTATTGCATAACTCAGACAATTATGACACAAGATGCCAAGAGATTATATATTGTTGGTGTCACGGTACCTGATTGGACAGTTTGCCCAGCAGTGAGCATGCACAATGATGTCACAATGATGCAGCCAATCAGATCCATACTAGCTTGGAGGCCTCACTTGTAGTGTTGATCTTTACACCTTAATGAGATTATGGAAATCACTATTTCTTTTCTCATCCTGCTAGTAGTATTTTTAACTAGATGCTAACATTTTTTAAACATTTTTGTTTAAGATTCATTTACAGCATATTCAGGATCACATAAGGGGGAGTGGTCTGAGGTGGCTGTTTGTCAGCCACTCTGCGGATGAAAGGCAGAGACCTCATAATCTGGGAAATGGCACAAATGTAGGGACAGGTGTGCAGAGAAAGGGGAGAGGGAGCTGGTAGCATCTGTCACATTGTTTCTGTAGTTGTTTTCTTAAAGGTCATATCATGAAAACAAAATTGTCAAATATATTTTGTGCATTTATTGGGACAATCATGTTTTGTTCTTTATTGTATTAACATTTATCCTCTAACTGATTTACATATGATGAAATACCCTTGCATTTTAAGGAATCTGACTTGAGCATCTTTTTTTCTGCTGTTGAATTTAGCCTGATTTTAGTTTGTCAAAACTGCTCCATCTGTGTCTATTGGGAATGCTGGCCTGTGGTTTTGCTCACTTATGTTGACAGCATCACAAGTGGTGGCTTAACTTGCTGCAGCACAACACCAGCCCTCTTGCTAGGCTTTTGTTTCAGGAGAATCTCATAACATGCTTCATAAATGAACTTGGAATAAGCTTAGAATTGTTATTATTTAAGTGTATGGTAGAATCTGGTGGATAAGTGTGCAGGTTCTGGATTTATTTAATTGACCATATTTTATTACTTGTTTAATCTCTTGGTTGATTAATATTCTGTTCATATTTTATGTTTTTTTCCTGATTCTGCTTTATTAGATTGCATGTTTCTAGGGATTCATCCTTTTCTCCTATAATCAAATTTGTTGGTGTATACTCATTTTTGGTCTTATTTTTTTTTTTTTTTGTATTCCTATGGCATCAGTTGTAATGCCTCCTTTCTCAGTTATGATTTTCTTTTTGAATCTTCACATTTTTTGTTAGTCTAGATAAGGGTCCATTAATTCTCTACTATGTTTTTTGAAGGAGAAAACTTTGGAGCACACATTTTGTTGAGCAACTAAGATGTCATTTGAGATGCTTTCGTCACACCTTGGAATTCAGGTTGTGTTCCTGTTACCTGCTTCCTGATAACTGCACTTTAGGAAGCAGCAGGTGATGAATCAACTATTTGTGCCCCAACCACTCACAGCAAGGTCCTGGATGAGTTCCTGATTCCTGTATTTGGCCTGGTTCAGCCCTGATGTTCATAAGCATTAACGGAATCAATTTACAGTGGCAAGATATCTCTGTGTCTGTTTTCTCCACTCTCTCTCTCTCTCTCTCTCTCTGGATCTCTACATTTAAATATTTTAAAGCAGCATTTAGTATTGTTAATCTTTTCTATTGTTTTTCTTGTTTCACTTTTTATCTTTCTCTAAAAATTCTTTGCTAAATTTCTTAGTCCTTTTTTCTTTTTCCTGTATCCTTTATTTGTAATGTTCATTGTCTATTAGAGATCTTTCCTTTTTATGTAGACGCAGATTGCTATAAACTTCCCATTCAGTACAGTGTATGTGACATCTTATAAGTTACTATATGTTTCGTTTCCATTTTTGTCTGTTATCACGTATCATTTTCATTTATAGCTCACTGGACAGGACAGGATTCACAGTCCCACCCTGACATACAAAGATCATGGAGAATAATCCCAATACACATCTGGAATGAGAAAAAGAAAATGGTGGTAAGCATCGTTGGTGACCACCATCATGCTTATGGAACAACTAACCTTATCAATGGGAGGAAACAGGAGCCATATGGAAAGGAGGATGAGGGGCCTCAGAGTACAGGGGATTCCAAGTTAGTGTGCAGGGCCCAAATCAGAACAACACTGAGTGCCTTTCTCACTTAGACCAGGAATCAAGCATTTCCTAGAACATTGTGTATTGAAGCGAACAATCCAGTCCTGCTAGAAGATGGGAGTTATGTGGGGTTTTCAGCAGGTAGGTTGAAGCTGCACGGCACCTGTGTTTTCCTAGATCTCCTGTTTATGGATAGAAGAGTCACAAAGCAGTATTTCTCTGACTATGTATTCAATTATTCTAGTACCTCTGAGATCCCCAAGTACATACAATGTTTCTGGTGTGTTCTAAAATTAGTCTTCTGGGCTTACTCCTGGGGTCAGCTATTTGCCCCTCCCCACTCTGGGTTTGTACATCTCTTTTCACTGCAATTCTCAAAAGCAAGTTCTGCTGGCACTGTCCTCCAATATTACCAGGATGCAGAACTGCAGCTCTAACTTTGAAGATATATGTGCTGACAATACTAATTGCCAAGTCTTATTACAATGCTCTGGACATCTACCAGCTGCCTGAGCAAGAGGATTGAACAGGCATGATGGCATAGATGCTGGAATGGCTGTCCTTTAGGTTTGGTCACTTCCCAAGCTTATTGTGCTGTCCTTTTTTTTTCCCCATTTTGCATTATATGTCTTCATTTGATTCACTTCTAACAACAGGCCTTTGGACATGTGTCTCACTGCGTGAAATAATGAAGTCACCACTTCCTTCTCTAAACTTCATCATCCTTGGTCAGACTTAGTTCAACGCCACTTTCTCAGAGAAGTCTTAATTTACCCCTCAAATGTACTCAAGTCCTCAGCTTTGAGACCTCTCTCCCTAATGCTGTGCGTACTGATATAGCATCTGGAAGAATGAACACTCATAGCTCTCAAGAGCATTTCAAATCAGCTGTTTTCAGAATCCTTGTGAGATGCCTTGAACACGTGTTGGAGTGCTGGCAGTATTCCTGTTTCCAGCTTCCTTAGGAAGCAGGTATCACCTTGGCACCTCAATGTGACAAGCTACTCATGCTTACTTTGTGATCTTAGGGGCGCAGATGCAAGCCTGCCAAACACATTGGCCTTGGAGAGACAACTTGGTGCTTTCATGTCTCAATAAGCTGATGTAGATGTCTAGAAAATGAATCTCCCTATTTGTTCTACATCTTCCCTGGATGACTCACAACTTCCTCACATCCAGGAGAGGAAAATTTCCTGCCAATGCAGATCTATTGCCCACTGTGGGCATGGAGACACTGCCAATGACTTTTCAAGGCACGGCAATTAACTAAGATGCTCCTTATCAGAGTTAGTTTCTCTTTGAATGCTTTGTAGAATTCTGCACTAAAGCCAACAGTTCCTGTATTTTTCCTTGATAGAAATATTGATATTGCTTTAATCTCACTGTTGGTTATGGGTCTCTTCAGGGTGTATTTATTGATTTATGCTTTATGATTGCAAAAATGTATTCTTTCTTTGGGATTTTCCAGTGTATTAGCTTATAGTTTTTCAGAGTAATTTCCTATGATACTTTGTATTTAGTGGTGTCTGTTATAATGCCTGTTTTTCATATCAAATTTTATTTATTTGAGATTATTTTTCTTTATTTCTTTATTAATCTAGCTACAGGTTTACCTATTTTAACTTCTCAAAAACCCAGATCTTTTTGCTTGGTATTTTGTATTTTTTAAATTTCAATTTAATTTATTTCTACTTTAATCTCTATTACTTCTTGCCTCCTGATGACTTAGGGATTCATTTATTCTTGTTATTTAAGTCTTTAAGATTTTGGTATTTTGTGTTTTCATTTCCATTTATTCAAGAAAAACTTTTATTGCAACTTTATAGTTCAAATTTCAAGTTTATTATGTGTATCTTATTATTATTGTTGATTTTTTATTTTTTCATTTATGGTAAAGAAGATACCTGATGTGATTTGTCTTTTTAAACTTTGTTGAGACTTAATTTCTGGCCTAATATGTGGTTTATCCTGAAAAATGTTCCAAGTGCTGATGAGAAGAATGTGTGTACTGTAGCTGTTGAGTGAAATGTCCTATAAAGTTAGATCCATTTGCTTGACAGTATGTTTCTTTTTTTTTCTTTTCCTTTCTTTTTTTTTTTCTTTTTTGACAAGCAGAGTTAGACAGTGAGAGAGAGAGAGAGAGATAAAGTTCTTCCTTTACCGTTGGTTCATCCTCCAATGGCCGCTGAGGCCAGCGCACTGCGCTGATCCAAAGCTAGGAGCCAGATGCCTCTGCTGGTCTCCCATGTGGGTGCAGGGCCCAAGCACTTGGGCCATCCTCCACTGCACTCCCAGGCCACAGTAGAGAGCTGGCATGGAAGAGGGGCAACCGGGACAGAATCCGGCGCCCCAACCAGGACAAGAACCCAGGGTGCCAGCGCTGCAGGCAGAGGATTAGCCTATTGAGCCGCAGCGCCCGCCAACAGTATGTTTCAATTCTGAGGTTTCTGCATTGATCTTCTATCTGAATTACCTGTCCATTGATGAGAATGTGGTGTTGAGGTGACCATTATTGTTGTATTGAAGTCTGTCTCTCCCTTTACATCAATAGTATTTGCTGTAAATATCAGGGTGGAGATATACTCTTGAGAGTTATGTCTTTTTGCTTAATTGAAACTTGCTGTGAGCTGCTCAAAATCTTGAGGTGTGAATCAATGAAGGGGTCTCCAGTGCCTAAAAGATGCAGGCAGTCACCACTTGTGACTCTAAGTCCCATGTGAAAGCATTGGGTTGAGAGTTGGAAGATGGCGGTATAGCAGTAGGATGTTCTGAGTCATGCAGAGAAAGATGAATGATTAATGAACAGAGAGGATACAATCAGGTGACTGAACCATGGAGAGTTTGTGCAGAGTGGCCCGGGAGTTCGCCACAGAGTTCCAGGGACCACGCTGGGGAAAACAGAGGTGCCAGAACTACAGAAAGAGAATGGAGTGGAGAACCAGTGAGAGGGTTCACCCTGCCTCACCCTGGGGGAACCAGGTGAGAGAGTGTGAGCCCATGGAGATGCAGACACGGATGAGGGGGAAACAAAGTGAACAGCACTTCTTGCTATAAGGGGGAAGAGGATGAGATTCTGGGGGATGAACAGAGAGGTTGAACACACCACGATCCCTCAGTGTCTTCCCCTCCCAACTGGAGCTGCAGTGGGCAGAGAGCAGGCATCTTGTTTATTTACATTTATTCCTGTGCAGGAGTGCAGGCTGTGCTTTCTTTTCCTGCACACAAACATCAGTTGTGGGGCCACTCCACATAGGAACAAGGATCACAATTGTTCAGAGTGACTCCCCCCTTGCCATGCAGGGGGCACAGCGACAGGAAAGACTGAACAAAGGAACAGGGAGACCACTCCCCCAGTGGGCGGAGCTTAGAAATCAAAGCCCCGGGTACCTGGCTCCTTAAGTACCCACCTGCTTCAGCTCCCAGGAATAAACAAAGCTCTAGGAGGTGTGCCACATGGTTGCAGGGGCCCAAGGATTTGGGCAACCTTCCATGTGAACCAGATCTACCATGTGAACTAGTACTATTCCTGAAAATTTACCCAAATGAATAGTAATCAATGTATGAAATATTGATCTATACTCTATGTTCACTGCAGCTCAATTCACAATAGCTAAGATTTGGAATCAACCCAAATATACAAATACTGAAGACTGGATAAAGAAATTACAGTACATATATAACTATAGAATGTTACACAGCAGTAAAAACACAAATGAAATCATGCCATTTTTAATAAAATTAATGTAACTGGAAACCATCATACTTAGTGAAATAAAACAGCCCCCAAAAGACAAATACCATATTTCTCTCTGATCTGTGGTAACAAAGAGCACACCTAAAAGTAATAAAATCTATAGGTGAGAAACTGACATTTTAAGATGTGATGATTTTGAATAGCCACTGTCTCAACAGTTGAGGAAATTTTTTTTCTTCATACTATTTATATAAAAGTGAATCTTACGAGTATATTGTTAACTGAAAATGGATCTTTAAAAACAAAGAATGAGGGGAGGAGGCAAGATGGCGGAATAGGAAGGGAGCACACTGATATTCCGGGGAGAGATAGTTTAATAAAAGTGGAGATACTGCAGGTTCAAGGAAGAGTAGGGGAGGAAACAGCAGAAAAAACTCTTTTGGAACACGTGATTCACAGTGGACATGCGTGGAGAGCGTGGGAGCCCACAGTTCAGGACACCAGCGGCAGACTCAACACACCAGCACTAGAACGCGAGGTGAGCCAAACCTCAATAGCCCGAGACACCGGCAGGCAAGCGGAGAGAGGAGACTACAGGGAATGACCCCCTGCAGGGGAAAGTTCACCAGGCTAACTGGAAGAGAGAGAGAGAGAAAAAAAAAGGTGACTGGTACGGACACAGGTTTCTCTCTCTCCGCTCACCTCTCAAGGGCGAGCAAGACAAAGGGCAGGCGCCATCTTGGACATACGTCATGAGCAGAGCGACCTCAGGTCTGCACCGGCCCTGAGCCTAGCAGAAAAACCTGACTCTGGGCGGGGCGAATTAACAGGAGATTAGGACCTAGTAAATTTGTGGTGCTACTGAACTGAGACTGTGAAAAAAGAGACGGTGGGGGAGAGAACTCACGGAATTCACGTGAGTGCTCTCCAGAGACGCTACAGTTCCATAACTTTGGCAACCCAGTGGGAGACTGAAGGAGAATTTGAGCCCACAAGAGGGCCAAACAGATTCCCTGTGGGGTCCTTGGGAAAGAGCTTCTGATCTCTGGCTCCTGTGGGTATATCATTGGCCTGCTAACTACCTCCAACTTCGTTCAGCTGTGCAGAATTACTTCCCTTTTGAATCAAAAAAAAAAAGAGAGAGAGAGAGAGATTTACCACACCTAACCTGGGAGTGTCACCTTTGGCACACCAAACAGAGCTCTCAGGCCACACCCATCTCAAGCCCTAAGGCTCCATCAAAACAGATAGTCCACTTAATCTAGAGTCCTAGTATAACAAGAAAAAGCACCACAGTGAAGAAACCAAATATCTCCAATATGACAAATAACAAACGCAAAAACCGAGGTAATAAAAACAAGGAAGTCACCATGACGCCCTCAAATGAAAAAGACACCCCAATTCAAGATTATGAGGATGATGATATAGAAGAAATGCAAGAAGCGGATCTCAAAACATTGAACATTAAGGAGTTCTCAAAAACAAATTCTTGAACTACAGAAATCCTTAATGGACAAGATAGAAAATCTCTCTCATGAAAATGAAATATTAAGGAGGAATCAAAATGAAACGAAACAACTAGTACAACAGGAAACTGTGATAGTGACGAGAAATCATAATGAAGTGAAGAATTCAATAGATCAAATGAAAAACACAATAGAGAGCCTTACAAACAGAAGGGGTGAAGCAGAAGAGAGAATATCGGACTTAGAAGACAGAGAACAGGAAAGGATACAGTCAGACCAAAGAAAAGAAGAGGAAATTAGAAATCTAAAACATATTGTCGGGAATATTCAGGATACTATTAACAAACCCAACATTCGGGTTCTAGGAGTTCCTGAAGGCATGGAGAGGGAGAAAGGATTAGAAGGCCTTTTTAGTGAGATATTAGCAGAAAATTTCCCAGGTTTGGAGAAGGACAGAGACATCCTAGTACAGGAAGCTCACAGAACCCCTAATAAACACGACCAAAAGAGATCCTCACCACGACACGTTGTAATTAAACTCTCCACAGGGAAACATAAAGAAAAGATCCTAAAATGTGCAAGAGAGAAACGTCAGATTACTCTCAGAGGATCTCCAATCAGACTCACAGCTGACTTCTCATCAGAAACCCTACAAGCTAGGAGGGAATGGCGAGCTATAGCCCAGGTACTAAGAGAGAAAAACTGCCAGCCCAGAACATTATATCCTGAAAAGCTATCATTTGTGAATGAAGGTGAAATAAAGACTTTTCATAGCAAACAGAAATTGAAAGAATTTGTCGCCACTTGTCCAGCCCTGCAACAGGTGCTTAAAGATGTGTTACACACAGAAACACAGAAACACAATCATCAATATGAAAGAAGGTAAAGGAAGGAAAGCTCACAGCAAAAGATCACAGGGAATTCAAAGCATATATTAGAACTTACCTTTGGCAAATGGCAGGGCAAAGTTACCACTTTTCATTAGTCACATTGAACGTGAATGGCCTGAACTGTCCAGTTAAAAGACACCGATTGGCTGATTGGCTTAAGGAACAAAACCCATCTATTTGCTGCTTACAAGAAACACATCTTTCTTTCCAACAAAGATCCATACAGACTGAAAGTGAAAGGCTGGAAAAAGATACACCATGCCAACAGAAATGAAAAAAGAGCGGGCGTAGCCATCTTAATTTCAGACAACATAAACTTTACCACAAAACTAGTTAAGAGAGACAAAGAGGGACACTACATAATGATTAAGGGATCAATTCAACAGGAAGATATAACAATTATCAATGTATATGCACCTAACTACAGGGCACCACACCAGTTTATCTATAAGATTTGTTAACGGACTTAAAGGGAGACTTAGACCCCAATACAATAGTACAGGGGGACTTCAATACTCCACTCTCAGAAATAGACAGATCAATAGGACAGAAGATCAACAAGGATACAGTAGATTTAAACGACACTATAGCCCAAATGGATCTAACAGATATATACAGAACTTTCAATCCTACAGCTAAAGATTTTACATTCTTCTCAGCAGTACATGGAACCTTCTCTAGGATTGACCACATACTAGGCCATAAAGCAAGTCTCAGCAAATTCAAAAGAATTAGAATCATACCATGCACCTTCTCAGACCATAAAGGAATGAAGTTGGAAATTAGCAACTCAGGAATCCCTAGAGCATACGCAAACACATGGAGATTGAACAACATGCTCCTGAATGAACAATGGGTCATAGAAGAAATCAAAAGAGAAATCAAAAACTTTCTGGAAGTAAATGAGGATAACAGCACAACATACCAAAACTTATGGGACGCAGCAAAAGCAGTGTTAAGAGGGAAGTTTATATCAATAGGTGCCTATATCAAGAAATTGGAAAGGCACCAAATGGATGAGCTTTCAATTCACCTCAAGGATCTAGAAAACCTACAGCAAATCAGACCCAAAACTAGTAGGAGAAGAGAAATAATTAAAATCAGAGAAGAAATCAACAGGATTGAATCCAAAAAAACATTACAAAAAATCAGCCAAACGAGGAGCTGGTTTTTTGAAAAAATAAACAAAATTGACACCCCTTTGGCCCAACTAACTAAAAAAAGAAAAGACCCAAATCAATAAAATCAGAGATGAAAAAGGAAACGTAACAACAGACACCACAGAAATAAAAAGAATCATCAGAAATTACTACAAGGACTTGTATGCCAGCAAACAGGGAAACCTATCAGAAATGGATAGATTCCTGGACACATGCAACCTACCTAAATTGAACCAGGAAGACATAGAAAACCTAAACAGACCCATAACTGAGACAGAAATTGAAACAGTAATAAAGGCCCTCCCAATAAAGAAAAGCCCAGGACCAGATGGATTCACTGCTGAATTCTACCAGACATTTAAAGAAGAACTGACTCCAATTCTTCTCAAACTATTCAGAACAATCGAAGAAGAGGGAATCCTCCCAAATTTTTTCTATGAAGCCAGCATCACCTTAATTCCTAAGCCGGAAAAAGATGCAACACTGAAAGAGAATTACAGACCAATATCTCTGATGAACATAGATGCAAAAATCCTCAATAAAATTCTCGCCAATAGAATGCAACAACACATCAGAAAGATCACCCACCCAGACCAAGTGGGATTTATTCCTGGTATGCAGGGATGGTTTAATGTGCGCAAGACAATCAATGTGATATACCACATTAACAGACTGCAGAAGAAAAACCATATGATTATCTCAATAGATGTAGAGAAATCATTTGATAAAATACAACACCCGTTCATGATGAAAACTCTAAGCAAACTGGGTATGGAAGGGACATTCCTCAATACAATCAAAGCAATCTATGAAAAACCCACAGCCAACATCCTATTGAATGGGGAAAAGTTGGAAGCATTTCCACTGAGATCTGGGACCAGACAGGGATGCCCACCCTCACCACTGCTATTCAATATAGTTCTGGAAGTTCTAGCCAGAGCTATTAGGCAAGAAAAAGAAATTAAAGGGATACAAATTGGGAAGGAAGAACTCAAACTATCCCTCTTTGCAGATGATATGATTCTTTATGTAGGGGATCTAAAGAACTCTACTAAGAGACTATTGGAACTCATAGAAGATTTTGGCAAAATAGCCGGGTATAAAATCAATGCACAAAAATCAATAGCCTTTGTATACACAGGCAATGCCACAGCTGAGGAAGAACTTCTAAGATCAATCCCATTCACAATAGCTACAAAAACAATCAAATACCTTGGAATAAACTTAACCAAGGACGTTAAAGATCTCTACAATGAAAATTACAAAACCTTAACGAAAGAAATAGAAGAGGATACCAAGAAATGGAAAAATCTTCCATGCTCATGGATTGGAAGAATCAATATCATCAAAATGTCCATTCTCCCAAAAGCAATTTATAGATTCAATGCAATACCAATCAAGATACCGAAGACCTTCTTCTCAGATCTGGAAAAAATGGTGCTGAAATTCATATGGAGGCACAAGAGACCTTGAATAGCTAAAGCAATCTTGTACAACAAAAACAAAGCCGGAGGCATCACAATACCAGATTTCAGGACTTACTACAGGGCAGTTGTAATCAAAACAGCATGGTACTGGTACAGAAACAGATGGATAGACCAATGGAACAGAATTGAAACACCAGAAATCAACCCAAACATCTACAGCCAACTTATATTTGATCAAGGATCTAAAACTAATTCCTGGAGCAAGGACAGTCTATTCAATAAATGGTGCTGGGAAAACTGTATTTCCACGTACAGAATCATGAAACAAGAACCCTACGTTACACCTTACACAAAAATCCACTCAACATGGATTAAAGACCTAAATCTATGACCTGACACCATCAAGTTATTAGAGAACATTGGAGAAACCCTTCAAGATATTGGCACAGGCAAAGAATTTCTGGAAAAGACCCGGGAGGCACAGGCAGTCAAAGCAAAAATTAACTATTGGGATTGCATCAAATTGAGAAGTTTCTGTACTGCAAAAGAAACAGTCAGGAGAGTGAAGAGACAATCGACAGAATGGGAAAAAATATTTGCAAGCTATGCAACAGATAAAGGGTTAATAACCAGCATCTACACAGAGATCAAGAAACTCCACAAAAAAAAAAACCAAAAACCCAATTAAGAGATGGGCCAAGGACCTCAATAGACATTTTTCAAAAGAGGAAATCCAAATGGCCAACAGGCACATGAAAAAATGTTCAAGATCACTAGCCATCAGGGAAATGCAAATCAAAACCACAGTGAGGTTTCACCTCACCCCAGTTAGAATGGCTCACATTCAGAAATCTACCAACAACAGATGCTGGAGAGGATGTGGGGAAAAAGGGACACTAACCCACTGTTGGTGGGAATGCAAACTGGTCAAGCCACTATGGAAGTCAGTCTGAAGATTCCTCAGAAACCTGAAGATAACCCTACCATTCAACCCAGCCATCCCACTCCTTGGAATTTACCCAAAGGAATTTAAATTGGCAAACAAACAAGCTGTCTGCAGCCTAATGTTTATTGCAGCTCAATTCACAATAGCTAAGACCTGGAACCAACCCAAATGCCCATCAACGGTAGACTGGATAAAGAAATTATGGGATATGTACTCTTTAGAATACTATACCGCAGTAAGAAACAACGAAATCCAGTCATTTGCAACAAAATGGAGGAATCTGGAACACATCATGCTGAGTGAAATAAGCCAGTCCCAAAGGGACAAATACCATATGTTCTCCCTGATTGGTGACAACTGACTGAACACCCAAAAGGAAACCTCCTGAAGTGAAATGGACACTATGGGAAACGGTGACTTGATCAGCATAGCCCTGACTGTTAATGAACAACTTAATACATTATCCCTCTTAGTAGTTTTTTTGTCTGTTCTACTTAATATGACTGGTTTAATTCTGTAATTAATACACAGTTATTCTTAAGTGTTGAAATTTAACTGAAATGTGATCCCTGTTAAACATAAGAGTAGGAATAAGAGAGGGAAGAGATGTACAATTTGGGACATGCTCAAGCCCCAAATGGTAAAGTTAGAAACATACCTGGGGACTCCAATTTAATCCCATCAAGGTGGCATGTACCAATGCCATCTCACCAGTCCAAGTGATCAATTTCAGTTCACAATTGATCATAATGAAAGGACTGAGGGTCAAAGGAAGCACATAAACAAGTCTAGTACCTGCTAATACTAACTGATAGAATAAATAAAGGGGAGAGTGATCCAACATGGGAAGCGAGATACTCAGCAGACTCATAGAATGGTGGATGTCCTAAACAGCACTCTGGCCTCAGAATCAGCCCTAAAGGCATTCCGATCTGGCTGAAAAGCCCAGGAGAGTATTTCAGGCATGGAAAGCCATGACACTCTGGCAAAAAAAAAAAAAAAAAAAAAAAAAACCAACCTAAATGAAAGATCTCTGTGAGTGAAATCCCAGTGGAAAGAACAGGTCTTCAAAGAAGGAGGTACCTTTCTCAGAAGGGAGGAGAGAACCTCCACTTTGACTATGACCTTGTCTAAACAAGATAAGAGTCGGTGAACTCAAAGGCTTCCATAGCCTTGGAAACTTACGACTGGTGTATAGGGAGATTACTGATGCCATAAACAGGAGTGTCAATTTGTAAAGTCAACAACAGGAGTCACTGTGCACTTACTCCTCATGTAGGATCTCTGTCCTTAATGTGCTGTACATTGAGAGTTAATGCTATAATGAGTATTCAAACAGTATATTTCACTTTGTGTTTCTATGGGGGTGCAAACTGTTGAAATCTTTACTGAATGTATACTAAACTGATCTTCTGTAAAAAAAAAAAATAAAGAAATTATCAATTCCCAACTTGACTCTCACTGGGATTAAACATGACAATAGGTCTGATCTGATTTCATCATCATTTAAAAAAATCATCTATTATTTTTCACTTTATGTTTGTGTGGGAGCAAACTGTTGAAATCTTTACTTAATGTATGCTAAACTGATCTTCTTTATATAAAGAGAATCGAAAATGAATCTTGATGTGAATGGAAGGGGAGAGGGAGTGGGAGAGGGGAGGGTTGCGGGTGGGAGAGACGATATGGGGGGGAAGCCATTGTAATCCATAAGCCGTACTTTGGAAATTTATATTCATTAAATAAAAGTTAAAAAAAAAAAAACAAAGAATGAGAATAGGAGTGAGGGAGGGGTAGGAAGTTTGGGAATGCGGGAGAGAGGGGTGTAGTTTGGGAAGGATCACTAACTCCCAAATTTTTATATTTGAAATGATGAAGTTTGAATGCCTTAAATAAAATTTAAATAAAAGAAAGTGCAAAAAAAGCTAAAAGTTTCAAGACAAGTTTCAAGACACTGGACCAGGTAGCTACATCTAAAAATAAAAGTAAGATTCATGTCAGATACAACTGTTTAAATTTCATCCTGTTCTGTTTTTTTTTTTTTACTTTTATTTACTGAATATAAATTTCCAAAGTATACCTTATAGATTACAATGGCTTCCCCCCTCCCATAACTTCCCTCTCACCTGCAACCCTCCCCTTTCCCTCTCCCTCCCCCCTTCCATTCACATTAAGATACATTTTCAATTCTCTTTATATACAGAAGATCAGTTTAGCATATATTAAGTAAAGATTTCAACAGTTTGTTCTGTTTTTAAATCAGTATATCAAACTGTGTCCTAAAATTTGCAGTGTCCTAAGCAGCAGAATATTTGTGCATTCTTCTTTGTTTAACTATGTTTAAATTATCACATCACAGGCAAACTTCATCTGCATGAAATTTTGCATGATAGATACTAATTATAGTAAGTTTATTTCCCACTCTTACCCCCATCAGGGGGGAATAATACTTGGAATTAATTGTCACTGAAATCTAAGCAAACTTTGTTAATTGGATTGTGACAATATTATAAATGATATGAAAACATTTTAACATTTGGCCATCAACTTAAGAAAATGATTTTCAGGGCCAGTGCTGTGGTGTAATGGGTAAAGCTGCTGCCTGAATTTCCAGCAACCCATGTGGACACCAGTTTGAGTTCGAGCAGCTCCATATCCGATCCAGCTCTCTGCCATTGCCTGGGAAAGCAGTGGAAGATAGCCCAAATCCTTGGGACCCTGCACCCATGTGGGACACCTGGAAGAACCTTCTGTCTCCTGGCGTTGGATCAGCACAGCTCCAGGCATTGCTGCCAATTTGGGAGTGAACCAGCAGATGGAATACGCCTCTCCTCCACCCCCTTCTCTCTGTGTTTAACTCTTGACTTTCAAAGAAATAAAGCTTTAAAAAATGTTTTTCCTATACAAATATTTTTATTTAGTTTTTAAAAAGGGATATATGCTACTCACTACTCTTGTAAATTTCTCAGCATTAAAGCATAACACAACTGAATGCTAAGGCAAATCTTGCCAAAAGAATTGAAAACAAGGCCCGGCGCCATGGCTCACTTGGTTAATCCTCCGCCTGCAGCACTGGCATCCCATATGAGCACTGGGTTCTAGTCCCAGTTGCTCCTCTTCCAGTCCAGCTCTCTGCTGTGGCACAGGAGGGCAGTGGAGGATGGGAGACCAGGAGGAAACAGCCTGGCACCTGGCTTTGGATCGGTGGAGCGCCAGCAGTAGTGGCCATTTGGGGGATGAACCAACTGAAGGAAGACTTTTCTCTCTGTCTCTCTCTCTCTCTCTGTAACTCTACCTGTCAAATAAATAAATAAATAAAATAAATTACAAAAAAGAATTGAAAACGGAATATACACTACATATCAAGTGCTGAATTTCATAGGGCCTGTATGATCAGAGTCTCACCAATTTTGTTACATGCATCACATAAAGAATTACATTTCATATTAGAGGGTTTCACAGGGATAGCAGTGCATTCCATTGATGTATTTCACTTTAGCTCAAGTACCTCTCAGATTCTTACAACTACTAGTCATTTCACTATCAGAAACACTGGAGAGCCACTTGTGTGACTGGGATCTTTTATTTTTATTTGGTGATGTTTGGTTGTTGAGGTTTATCCTTTTAGGGAGAAAAATTAGTCTAAAATTGGAATGACTATATTTTTGTTTGATTTCTAGTATAGCTCACCTTTTATATACCTTTTATATTGCAAAGACAGTCTTTGGTATGCATTCAATTAGAGGTTTTTAACATTTTCTAGAAGCTGCTTGGTTCTGTTGAGATGCATGTACAATAGAACCCTTTTAAACATGTAAACTTTGAGCAACAACACATTTTTGGTTGCATTTGAAAGCCTGCATAAGATTTTGCTTGAAAAATGCATATTTTTCTGCTAAATTTTATTTGAAAGCTACCTACTTACAGTGTCTTGATCTTTGAAATGGATGGTTTCAGATCCTCTGATATTATTTCTGCTACTTCCTTTTCACCAGATTCTTTAAAAGGTTATGTAAAAGTCTCAAGACTGAACCTATAATAGCTTTGGTCAGATTCAGTGCTTGTCAGGATGTGATGATCTGATGGCACTAAGACCCAGCAATGTCTCCAACAATTCAACACAATTAGCAAAGTAGCTTTTAGTTTAACATTATTATGCACAGAGTGTCAGCAATTTCTGCCTTTACCTAATGATTCTATATATCATAACTCAGAAGGTTGAAGTTATCAAAATAATGTAAAATTATAATTTTGCTTCAATTTCTTATAAAAAAAAAACATTGAGTTGCATGTTATATCAGCTTCAACTTATAGCTTCATGGTACTCACCATAAATGAAATAGCTTCTAAGTATCATGATTGATTTCTAATTCCAGGTATTTTGCTTTTTCACTATTGGCATATCAACTTCATGCAGACTTGAGCAGCAGACAGTCACTCAGGGCTTGATTCCATGAAACTGAGCAGTGTGTCCTTATGTGTTTACTTCAGCAAAGATGTCCTACTTTGTGCACATGTGCATAAGCATAGCATTGACTCTTTCAGAGAATAAGGTGTGCTTTTGTTAACATGATTAACATTGAACTCTGTGTTCTTGTCAGGATTATTGTCCTTTTAACATAGAGATGATGCTGTGGAAACTAGCTCCAGTTCTAGCCCAGGCAGCTCCTCTTCCAATCCAGCTCTCTGCTAGGGCCAGGGAAAGCAGTAGAAGATGGCCCAAGTCCTTGGGTCCTTGCAACCACATGAGAGACCTGGAAGAAGCTCCTGGCTCCTGGCTTCAGATCAGCACAGCTCCATCTGTTGCGGCTATCTGGGGAGTGAACCAGTGGATAGAAGAACTCTCTCTCTCTCTTTCTGCCTCTCCTCTCTCTGTGTAACTCTGACTGTCAAATAAATAAATAAATCTTTAAAAATATTTATTATCATCTTTGTTTGGTTTATTTTCTAATACATTGAAAGTCAACAGTGAGACTGGAAATGTTAAACAATTGCAGCTACTGTTAAAAACTTTTATTTGCAAAAGGGAACAAATTAATATTACTATGATTTAACTTATAGAACGATGGTTTGAGTGGTTCACTTTAAAAAGTTCCCTAAAAATAATGTTGAAAGGACTGAAATTTTCTAAATGAGGCTAAAGCAAATTTAAGACTGTATTATCTCTTTAAAAGTACAAAGGTTTGCATTATGCTATGACTTGAGGTGTTTCCTGGTTTTATTAGAGTGCTGAGTTATACATATGCTGCACCATCAAATACCACTAATACAGCATTCATCATATTCTAATCCTATGTCATAGTGTCGATATTAACCTTTCGAGATCTTTCTAGTATTTTATTTAACCAATATGGAGAGGATTTGTATGTTGTAAGATGCAGAGTGGTGGTTAAAGAGGAGGAGATGGGGGGTGCACTAACACCTTCACAGATCTGCTTTGTGCTTCAAATGGGTCTTTGCATGAGTTACTCTATCTAATCCTCACCAAAAAAAATGGGAGGTTTCATGAGGCAGATGGGAGTGCTGTAGCATAGCAAGGAGACAGCATTTTTGACAGTGTCTTTTAGAAAAGACTACTTGGATCTAGGTTATTGTTTTGAAGACCTAGAGTTGTTAGTTCTCAAGAAAATCAGATCTTGAGAGACTGACATGAAAGCTGAGAGGAAAAGGGGACAGCAGAATACACATGTATAATCGTGTCTGGTTAGATATAGGTCAGAACTTGGACATGGATTGAATTATATGTGGTTTTTGAGAACTTATTGTTTACTTGGTGAAAAAGGGCTCTTCTCCTTCAATTCAAGCACTGCTCTGTTTAGCTATCAGTCCTGTGGTGCTGAATCCAGTTCTGGGAGGTGTCTAATCACCAGCTCCAGTGCCAGACAAGGGTAGAGCTGTCCTTCTCTCTGTAATGGTATTTCTGTAATTTTTATTCTTTCTTGGTTTTTTTTTTTCGCTGTATTGCATCTTATTTTATTTATTAGATTGAGTGAACTATAATTTTGTAGTCATTTGAAATTTTGTAGTTGAGGGGCACTAAGTGCATTCCTGATGCTGGCATCCTGGAGTACTGTGAGACTGCATAGTGTTTCCATCATGGAGCATAGGCTGTGTGCAGGATATGGGGAAAGATCAGGAATGAGCAGTTCAATCCTTCAGCAACTGCAGAGCTGGAGTGGCTTTGCACTTAAATCTGGACCTCCTCCATGATAATCCCAGTAGCAGCTTTAGAGCTGAGGCAGCTCTGAAAGATCCCAGAACAAGACCTGCACAGGCTGCAGAGGAGCAGCTACTCTTTAGCAGCTGTGGCTCCAAGGTAGAGCCAGAGCCCAGACACCTCCAATGCTTCTCATGGCACCATAATGGCTCATCCCCAAAGCAAAATCAGGACACACTCCAAACTAGACCTAAGGCAGATTAGGTCTAGTAAGGTAGCTCCCTCCCCAGGGCTAGCAACACCTCCAGGCCCAGGTCTGACCTCAGTGGCAGAGCCCCATCCTGCTGTGACATCACATCCAGAAAGAGCACCAGTGTGAGCTTCAGAGCTAGAACCTCCTAACAGAAGCAACTTTGGTAATGCCCATGAGTTACGACCAGACTCAGCCAGAATTCACTGTGGCACCAGCTCCAGTGCTAGCACCAGATACTGCCAATACCAGCTCCCAAACCAGAAACTTCCCATCATCTACATGCAAGGGAATCCTTTCTTTTTGGTGATTTTTTTTTCATTTTCATGTTTCTCATGGTTGCTTATATTTTATATTATGACATAAAATAGTTTTCTTTCATAAAATTTGAAATCACACAATTCCTTGACATCAACACATGTGCATGCTGCAGCCATCCTGACAGTCTAGTTCCAAACGTTCTCCCTATCCCCAGTGGAAATGCTGTGCTCATCAATCAGTCATTCCCCATCCCCCAAACCTTCAGTTCTCTGACAATCATGATGTGAGGGATATATCTATTCACTTATCTGTTCTCAGTTTTGCACACAAGTAGAATGGTGTGATCTGTGGTCTTTTGCAAACAGTTTCATACCATCATATGTTCATGGTTCACCTATGTTAGATCACTTATCAACTCCTGATTTCATGTGGGCTGAATCATAATCCACTGTAGAAACACACATGTCATTCACCATGCACTACTGATAAACACATATGTTCTTTTCAACATCTTGTTAGAGTTTGCAAGTTATATGTCTTGAAGGATTTTTCCATCTATGTCCATTATGGATCTGTCCTATACATTTTTTGTCTTAGGAAGTACTTGCTACTTATATGAAGAAGTGTTCCCTCCTCATAACACTCAAATGCTTTAAATAGTTCATCAATACTTGATTTTCCATCATCTGTGTATGTTTGCATCCCCTTTGGGAATATTTTGTGAATAATGCTGCCATGAATATTCACAGATATCTGTTTAAACACCTGTATTTGAATCTCGGGGTATGAATAGAAGTCAAAATATCAGGTGAAAATGGTAATGCTGTGTTTGCCTTTCTGAGAGCTACCACATTGCCTCCTCTTGTGATTGCAACTGATTACTTCTCTCGCCAAACAGCCCATATCGTCCAATTCCTCAACATCTTCACTCTCAGGTATTATGTTCTGTTTTCCTGATTCATAACTACTGTAGCAGATGTTGAGTGGGCTCACTGTGGTCTAGCCTGCCTTCATGTCACACCACACACGCTGGATCACATCTTCACAGGATGCTTGGCCATTTCTTGGTCTTTTCAGAGAAGTTGCAGGTTATTACTGTTTTGATGCTCTGTGCTAAGAGGTCTTTATATATTTTGAGTATAAGATCCCCATCAGATCTATGAATTACAAATATCTTCTGCCATTCTTGGATTTTATTTTTAACTCCCTCAAGAATGCTCTTTCAGGAAAAACTATTTTTAAATTTCATGAGGTTCAAATTAGTTGTTTTTCTTCTGTTGCTGTGCTTGTGGTGTCATTAAAAAAGACCATTGGCAAATCACTGATCATGAGGTCTTGCCCCCTGTCTTTTGTTACAGAACTGCCATAATTTGAACTCATAAATGTCTGTCTTTGATTCATTGAAATCTACTTTTGGGGGGTGTTAGGTGGTTCTAGCTTCAGGCTTTTGCCTATGAATGGGTATTCAAATTCTTGCCTTGTTTTAGAATTTATTTTTATGGCAGATCTAGGTTCTCAACAAAACTGAATAAAGAATCACAGATTTCCCATACACCTCCTACCTCACACTTGCAGAGCGTTTTCCATTGTCAATTCTCCACCAGAGCAATAAATTTACATCAAATGATGACCTACATGGACACATCCAATGTCCATGGTTTACACTAAGGTTCACCTTTGCTGCTCTGTCTGGACAAATATAAAGTGATGTGCACATAACTGTACTATCATATAGAGTCACTGCACTGCACTAAAACCTTCTGAGCCCCACCTGTTCATCATTTCCTGACACTGAACCACTAGTAACAATGGACTTTTTCACTGTCTCCATCATTTGCCTTTCCAAGGATGTTATGGAATTTGAATATAAACTTGCAGCTTTCTCAGACTGACTGTCTTCAGTTAGTCACATGCATTTAGGTTTCCTTTCGGGAAGCCATTTGGCAAAGCAGATTGGCAACCACTTGGGATACCTGCATCCCATGTTAGAGTACCTGGTTCAAATCCTGCTACTCTGACTTTGAGCCAGCTTCCCACTAATGTGCAATTAGGAAAGGTGATGGCTCAAATACTTGGGTCCCTGACACCCATGTGGGAGAACTAGATGGAATTCATGGTTTTAGTCTAGCCCAGCCCTGGCTGATGTTAAGATTTGGGTGATGAACCAATAGATGGAAAATTTCCCATTGTTTCTCCCTGTCTCTCAAATAAAATGAAATAAATAAAACAACTTTAAAAAGGCATTATCCTCTGAAAAACTATTCTTTTTATCTGTTCATTACTGGACAGCACACTCCCTGTAATATTGAATAACATTTAATTTTTGAGTACTCTACTGTTCATCACTTATCCTCATTTTTTTACCAACAAAGATACAAAAATGCTGAAAGTGAAAGGATGGAAAAAGATATTTTATATCAACAGAAATCAAAAAAGAGCAGGTATAGCCAACTTAATATCAGAAAAAATAGACTTTAACACAAAAACTGGTAAAAGAGACAAGAAGGGGACAATATAATGATTAAGGGATCAATCAGCTCAACAGGAAGATGTAAGTATTATAAATGTATGTGCACCTCATTAGAGGGCACCTGGCTATTTAAAGAAATGTTAAGGGATTTAAAGGGAGACTTAGACTCCAAAACAATAGTTTTGGACTACTTCAATACTCCACTTTCAGCAATGGACAGATCAACCAGACAGAAAATCAACAAGGAAAAAGCAGATTTAATAAACACTATAGACCAAAGGACCTAACAGATATCTACAGAACTTTTCATCCTATATTTGCATAATAAACATTTGCCTCAGCAGTGGCTGGAACGTTCTCTAGGATTGACCACATGTTACGCCATAAAGCAAGTCTCAGCAAATTAAAAAAAAAAAAATCAAAATCATACCATGCATCTTCTCAGACCACAATGGAATGAAGCTGGAAATCAACAACTCAAGAATCTCTAGATTCATGGAGACTGAATAACATCCTCCAGAATGAACATGGATTGGAAGAATCAATATCATCAAAATGTCAATTCTCCCAACAGCAATTTATAGATTCATTGTGATACCAATCAAAACACCAAAGGCATTCTTCTCAGATCTGGAAAAAATGATGCTGAAATTCATATGGAGGGACAGGAGACCTTGAATACCTAAAGCAATGTTGTACAACAAAAACAAAGGCAGAGGCATCAAAATTCCAGATTTCAGGACATACTACAGGGTAGTTAGAAAAACATGGTACTAGTACAGAAAAAAATAGAAGACCAATGGAACAGAAGAGAAACACTAGAAATCAATCAAAACATCTACAACCAATGGTAAACTACTACTAAAACAGTACTCTATACTTTGTATTTCTGTGTGGGAGCAGTCTGTTGAAATCTTTACTTAGTAAATACTAAGTAGATCTTCTGTATATAAAGATAATTGAAAATGAATCTTGATGAAGAATGGGATGGGAGAGCGAGAGGAAGATGGGATGGTTGTGGGTGGGATGGAGGTTATGGGGGGAAAAGCTGCTATAATCCATAAGTTGTACTTTGGAAATTTACATTTATTAAATAAAAGTTAAAAAAATAGAGGAAGTTAACAGCAAAAGTTGCCAACCTAAGAAACATGAAAGACAGCAAATAAGTGAGCTGTCAATGCATCTCAAGGATCTAGAAAAAAACATCAAAACCAAAAAAAAAAAATTGGATAACATAGATAATTAAAATTAGAGAAGAAATCAGCAAAATTGAAATGAAAAAGATTACAAAATATCTGCAAAAGGAAGAGCTGTTTTTTGGGGAAAAAAAAAAAAGAAAGAAAAGTGCAGACCATTGGCCAAAGTAACCAAAAAAAGGAGAAGACACAAATCAATAAAATTAGAGATGAAAAAGGAAATGTAACAACAGACACCACAGAAATAAAAAGAACCATCAGAAATTACTACAAAGAGTTGTGTGCCAAAAAACTAGAAAACAAAGCAAAAATGGAGAGATTATTGGATTCATACAACCTACTTAATTTGAACCATAGAGGCATAGAAAAACTAAACAGAACCATAACCAAGAGGGAAACCAGTAATAAAGGCCCTCCCAACAAAGAGCACCCCAGGACAGGAAGGATTCACTGATGAATTCTACCAGACATTTAAAGAAGAACTAACTCAAATAACTCTGAAGTTATTCAAAGCAATTGAAAGAGAGGGAATCCTCCCAAATTCTTTCTATGAAGCCAGCATCACCTTAATTTGAAAACCAGAAAAAGATGCAACAGAGCAAGAGAATTAAAAACCAATTTCACAGTATATGCAAAAATTCTCAAAATTCTAGCCAAGAGAATCGAACAAGACATCAGAAAGATCATCCACCTAGAACATGTAGCAAGATATAAAGTCAATAGACAGAAAACAACAGCCTATCTATACAGACAATGACATGCTGAGAAGGAACTTCTAAGATGAATACCACTCACAATGATTACAAAAATTCAAATACCTTACAATAAATTTAACCAATGATGTTAAAGATCTCTACGATGAGAATTACAAAGAAAGAAATTTAAGAACAGAAAAATGGAAAAATCTTCCATGTTCACGAATTGCAAGAATCAATATTATCAAAATGTCCATTGTTCCAAAAGCAATTTACAAATTCAATGTGATATCAATCAAATTCCAATGACATTCTTCTCAGACATAGAAAAAATGATGCTGAAATTTTTAAACAGCATAGGAGACCTCAAATACATAAAGCAATCTTGTACAACAAAAACAAAGCCAGAGACATCACAATACCAGATTTCAATACATATTACAGGGTAGTTGTAATCAAAACAGCATGGTACTGGTACAGAAACAGATGGATACACCAACCTAGGAGAATGCATGCAAGATATAGGCACAGGCAAATACTTCTTGGAAAAGACCCCGGAGGCAAATTCAAAAGTTTCTGTACTGGCAAAGAAACGGTCAGGAAAGTGAAGAAAAATAATTAAAATTAGATAAGAAATCTTGAATATGTTTTCATGTGCCTGTTGGCCATTTGGATTTCCCCTTTTGAAAAATGTCTATTGAGGTCCTTGGCCCATCCCTTAAGTGGGTTGTTCGTTTTGTTGTTGTGGAGTTTCTTGATCTCTTTGTAGATTCTGGTAATTAATGCTTTATCTGTTGCATAGTTTTCAAATACTTTTCCCATTCTGTCAGTTGCCTCTTCCCTTTCTTGACTGTTTCTTTTGCAGTACAGAAACTTCTCAATTTGATGCAATCCCAATAGTTAATTTTTGCTTTCACTGCCTGTGTCTCCAGGGTGTTTTCCAAGAAGTCTTTGCCGGTGCCGATATCTTGAAGGGATTCTCCAATGTTCTCTAATAATTTGATGGTGTAGGGTAGTAGATTTAGGACTTTAATCCATGTTGAGTGGATTTTTTGTATAAGGTAGGGATCTTGCTTCATGCTTCTGCATGTGGAAATCCAGTTTTCCCAGCACCATTTATTGAATAGACTATCCTTGCTCCAGGGATTGGTTTTAGATCCTTGATCAAATATAAGTTGGCTGTAGATGTTTGGGTTGATTTCTGGTGTTTCAATTCTATTCCATTGGTCTATCCATCTGTTTCTGTACCAGTACCATGCTGTTTTGGTTACAACTACCATGTAGTATGCCCTGAAATCTGGAATTGTGATGCCTCTTGCTTTGTTTTTGTTGTACAAGACAGTTTTAGCTATTCGAGGTCTCTTGCGTCTCCATATGATTTTCAACAACATTTCTTCTACATCTGTGAAGAATGTCTTTGGTATCTTGATTGGTATCGCATTGAATCTATAAATTGCTTTTGGGAGAATGGACATTTTGAAGGTATTGATTCTTCCAATCCAAGAGCATGGAAGATTTTTCCATTTTTTGGTATCTTCTTCTATTTCTTTAAGATTTTATAATGCACATCGTAGAGATCTTTAACATCCTTGGTTAAGTTTATTCCAAGGTATTTGATTGTTTTTGTAGCTATTGTGAATGGGATTGATTTTAGAAGTTCTTCCTCAGCTGTGGCATTGCCTGTGTATACAAAGGCTATTGATTTTTGTGCATTGATTTTATACCCTGCTACTTTGCCAAACCCTTCTATGAGTTTCAATAGTCTCTTAGTAGAGTTCTTTAGATCCCCTACATAAAGAATCATATCATCTGCAAAGAGGGATACTTTGAGTTCTTCCTTCTCAATTTGTATCCCTTTAATTTCTTTTTCTCGCCTGATGGCTCGGGTTAAGACTTCCAGAACTATATTGAATAGCAGTGGTGAGAGTGGGCATCCCTGTCTGGTACCAGATCTCAGTGGAAATGCTTCCAACTTTTCCCCATTCAATAGGATGCTGACCATGGGTTTTTCATAACTTGCTTTAACTGTATTGAGGAATGTTTCTTCTATACCCAATTTGCTTAGATTTTCATCAGGAAAGGGTATTGAATTTTATCAAATGCTTTCTCTGCATCTATTGAGATAATCATATTGTTTTTCTTCTGCAGTCTGTTAATGTGGTATATCACATTGATTGTTTTGCGCACATTGAACCATCCCTGCATACCAGGGATAAATCCCACTTGGACTGGGTGGATTATCTTTCTGATGTGCTGTTGCATTCTATTGGTGAGAATTTCATTGAGGATTTTTGCATCTATGTTCATCAGAGATATTGGTCTGTAATTCTCTTTAAATGATGCATCCTTCTCTGGCTTAGGGATTAAGGTGATGCTGGCTTCATAGAAAGAATTTGGAAGGATTCCATCTTTTTCCATTGTTGGGAATAGCTTGAGGAGAATTGGAGTTAGTTCTTCTTTAAATGTCTGGTAGAATTCAGCAGTGAATCCATCTGGTCCTGGGCTTTTCTTTGTTGGGAGGGCCTTTATTACTGTTTCAATTTCTGTCTCAGTTATGGGTCTGTTTAGGTTTTCTATGTCTTCCTGGTTCAATTTAGGTAGGTTGCATGTGTCCAGGAATCTATCCGTTTCTGATAGATTTCCCTGTTTGCTAGCATACAACTCTGTGTAGTAATTTCTGATGATTCTTTTTATTTCTGCGGTGTCTGTTATGTTTCCTTTTTCATCTCTGATTTTATTGATTAGGGTCTTTTCTCTTTTTTTACTTAGTAGGGCCAACTTGGTGTCAATTTTGTTTATTTTTTCAAAAAACAAGCTCCTTGTTTGGCTGATCTTTTGTAATTTTTTTTTTGATTCAATCCTGTTGATTTCATCTCTGATTTTAATTATTTCTCTTCTCCTACTAGATTTGGGGCTGGTTTGCTGCAGTTTTTCTAGATCCTTGAGACCACAATGAGGTTTCACCTCACCCCCATTAGAATGGCTCACATTCAGAAATCTACCAACAACAGATGCTGGAGAGGATGTGGGGAAAAAGGGACACTAACCCACTGTTGCTGGGAATGCAACTGGTAAAGCTACTATGGAAGTCAGTCTGGAGATTCCTCAGAATCCTGAATATAACCCTACCATACAACCCAGCCATCCCACTCCTTGGAATTTACCCAAAGGAAATGAAATTGGCAAATATAAAAGCTGTCTACACCTTAATTTTTATTGCAGCTCAATTCACAATAGCTAAGACCTGGAATCAACCCAAATGTCCATCAAGAGTAGACTGGATTAAGAAATTATGGGACATATACTCTATAGAATACTATACAGCAGTCAAAAACAATGAAATCCAGTCATTTGCAACAAAATGGAGGAATCTGGAAAACATCATGCTGAGTGAATTAAGCTAGTCCCAAAGGGACAAATATCATATGTTCTCCCTGATAGGTGACAACTAACCAACCACAAAAAAGGAAACCTGTTAAAGTGAAAGGGACACTATGAGAAACTGTGTCTTGTTCAGCCCTTGTCCTATTGATGTACAATGTAATACTTTATCCCTTTCAGTATTATTTTGTTCTACTTAATAGTATTGTTTGAACTCTGTAATTAACATACAATTATATTTAGGTGATGAAATTTAACTGAAAAGTGATCCCTGTTAAATATAAGAGTGGGAATAAGAGAGGGAGGCGATGTACAATTTGGGACATGCTCAATCGGACTTGCCCCAAATGGTGGAGTTAGAATCATGCCAGGGGATCCCAATACAATCCCATCGAGGTGGCATGTACCAATGCCATATCACTAGTCCAAGTGATCAATTTCTGTTCACAACTGATCACACTGATATGTCTAAGAGTCAAAGGGATCACATAAACAAGACTAGTGTCTGCTAATACTAGCTGATAGAATCAAAAAGGGAGAGAATGATCCATCATCGGAAGCGGGATACACAGTAGACTCATAGAATGGCAGATGTCCTAAACAGCACTCTGGCCTCAGAATCAGCCCTTAAGGCATTTGGATATGGCTGAAGAGCCCATGAGAGTATTTTAGGCATGGAAAGCCAAGAAACTCTGGGGAAAAAAAAAATGACCTAAATGAAAGATCTCTGCATGTGAGATCCCAGTAGAAAGAATGGGCCATCAAAGGAGGAAGTACCTTTCTCTGAGGGGAGGAGAGAACTTCCACTTTGACTATGATCTTGTCTAAATAAGATCGAAGTCAGCGAACTCAAGAGTCTTCCATAGCCTTGGCAACTCATGACTAGAGCCTAGGGAGATTACTGACGCCATAAACAAGAGTGTCAAATTGTTAAGTCAACAACAGGAGTTACTGTGTACTTAATCCTCATGTGGGATCTCTGTCCTTAATATGATGTCCAATGTGAATTAATGCTATAACCAGTACTCAAACAGTATTTTACAGTTTATGTTCTGTGTGGGTGCAAACTGCTGAAATCTTTACTTAAAATATACTAAATTGATCTTCTGTATATAAAGAGACTTGAAAATTATTCTTTATGTGCATGGAAGGCGAGAGGGAGCAGGAAAGGGGAGGGTTGCAGGTGGGAGGGAAGTTATGAGGGGGGGAAAGCCATTGTAATCCATAAACTGTACTTTGGAAAATTATATTTACTAAATAAGAGTTTAAAATTTAGATAAGAAATTAACAAAATTGAATCCAAAAAAAATTACAGAAACAGATAGACAAATAGAACAGAATAGAAACACCAGAAATCAGTCCAAACATCTACAGCTAACTTATATCTGATCAAGGATCTGAAAGCAATTCCTGGACCAAGTACAGTCTATTCAACAAATTGTGCTGGTAAAACCACGTTTCCACATGCAGAAGTATGAAGTCCCCTATCATACACCTTAACCAAAAATCCACTCTACATGGATTAAAGATCTAAATCTATGACCCAACACCATCAAATTTTTAGAGAACCTTGGAGAAAATCTACAAGATATTTGTATAGCGAAAGACTTCCTGAAAAAGACCCCAGAGGCACAGGAAGCCAAAGCCAAAATTAACAACTGGGATTATATCAAGTTGAGAAGTTAATGTATGGCAAAAGAAACAGTCAGGAAAATGAAAAGGCAATGAACAGATTCTGAGAAATTATTTGCAAATTATGCAACTGATAAAAGATTAACAACCAGAAGAGATCAAGAAATTCTACAACAACAAAACAACCCACTTAAGACATGGGCCAAGGACTTAAACTAACATTTTTCAAAAGAAGAAATCCAAATGGCAAACAAACACATTAAAAAATGTTCAGAATCACTAGCTGTTAGGGAAATGAAAATCAAAACCACCATGAGGTTTCACATCACCCTGGTTAGAATGACTTTCATATAGAATTCAACAAACAACAAATGTTGGTGAGGATGTGGGAAAAACAGTGCCCTGATACACTGCTGATGGGTATGCAAACTGGTAAAGTCACTATGGAAGACAGTTAGGAGATAACTCAGAAATCTGAATATAGCCCTACCGTGCAAGCTAGCCATCCTACTTGGAATTTACCCAAGGGAAATTTAATTGAGAAATTAAAAAAGCTATCAGCACTTCCATTTTTATTGCGGCTCAATGTACAATGAAATCAACCTAAATGTCCATCAACAGAAGACTGGATAAAGAAATTATGGGATATGTACTTTATGAAATAATACACAGTGGTAAAAAAATGAAATCCAGTTTTTTGAAAGAAAATGGAAAAATCTGGAAAACATCAAACTGAGTGAAATAAGCCAAAGGGGACAAATAGCGTTTCTTCTCCCTGATCTGTGACTACTAAGCATCTAAAAGGAAACCTCTAGAAGTGAAATTGACACTATGAGAAGCAATGACTTGATCAGCACTTTTCCTGTCAAGGAACAGATAATTATTTTATTCTTTTTAGTATTTTCTTTTTCTGTTTGATACCATTGGTTGAACCCTTTACTTAAAATGGAATTATTATTCAAATTCAATTGAAAATTGATCCCTGTAAAAAAATATGAGTGGGAATAAAAGAGGGAAGAGATGTACAAATTGGCATACATTCCCACGGACTTACCTCTAAGAGTAAAACAAAGCTAAAAATCTGCCATGGGTCTCAAATCCCATTAAGGTGGCAGATACTAATGACATCTTACTACTTTAAGTGATCGTTTTAAGTGCATTTCTGATAAAGAAAGGAATAATTGCCCAAGAGATCATATAAATAAGACCAAGAGTCTGCTAATAACAATAGACAAAATTAAAAAGGTGAGATTGATCCAACATGGGAAGCAGGTTACACAGCAGGCTCAGAATGACAAACTCCCTAAACAGCACTCTGGCCTCAGTGCATTAGCCAGGCACTCAGATCTGGCTAAGAACAAGAGAGCATTTCAGACATGGAAAGCTGACACTGGCAAAAAAGTGGCCTAAATTAAAGATTTCTGAGTGAGATCCCAGTGGAAAGAAGGGAACATCAAAGGAGGTATCTTTCTCTGAAAGAAGGGGAGAACTTCCACTTTGCTTATGGCCTTGTCTAAATAATGACAGAACCTGTGCACTCAAAAGGTTTCCATAGCCCTGGCAGCTCATGACAAGAGCCTTGGGTGAGCATTGACATCATAAAGAATAGTGTCAATTGCTAAATCAACAACAGGAGTTAGTGTACTTGCTCCCCATGTACTTAATGAGTTGTACTACGAGAATTAATAGTGAACTTTATTTTCAAACAGTACTTTATAATTTGTGTGCCTGTGTGGGTTCAAACTGTTGAAATGTTTACTTAGTATAGAGTTGATCTTCTGTATATAAATAAAAATGAATTTTAATGAAGAATGGGATGGGAGAGGGAGTAGGAGGTGGGATGAGAGTGGGGGTGGAACGGTGGTTATGGGGGGAAAACTGCTTTATTCCAATAGCTGTACTTAAAATTTATATTTTTTATATATATATTTTTTACATGCAGAGTTAGACAGTGAGAGAGAGAGAGACAGAGAGAAAGGTCTTCCTTCCATTGGTTCATCCCCCAAATGGCCGCTACGGCTGGCACGCTGTGCTGATCCCAAGCTAGGAGCCAGGTGCTTCCTCCTGGTCTCCCATGCGGGTACAGGGCCCAAGCACTTGGGCTGTCCTCCACTGCCTTCCCAGGCAACAGTAGAATGCTGGACTGGAAGAGGAGCAACCAAGACAGAACCGGTGCCCCAACTGGGACTAGAACCCGGGGTGCTGGCGCTGTATGCGGAGGATTAGCCAAGTGAGCAGCGGTGATGGCCAAAAATTTATATTTATTAAATAAAATTTTTCTACAATAGATGTATGGATAGTGTTGTGTAATTGTGTTCCATGTACATGGCATGGGGTACAGGGTGAGCAGCCCAGTTGGAATTTGGTGAGATCTTATTTGATGAAGAAACCTAGGAAAATAGATTCCAAGAAGTGAAGTCATTTCTTTGATGATACAAGGCCACTACTGTAATTCCACTGAGGAATCACCATCCCATTTCTCCTTTTGCGTGGGTTTGAATACCCTTACAAAAAATAGCCTCCCTGTGAAGAATCAATTTGTTATTAGAGTTAGAATCTTGGGTAGACTGCCAGATCCACAACTCATATCACGGCAGGCAGGATGTAAAGAAGAGCTAAGCAGTAACAAAATCATACATGGTGAGTATTTGGCAGGCTCATAAATCACAATGCACTCAAGCTTCTCACCTGTATGTCAAATACCCTAAAGGATACAGTTTTGGATTCTGTGGTATTATAGTCTGTAGAGCTAGCCCACACATTTCTTCTTGCATGTAACTGAATTTCTTGTCCACAAAGCCTCTTTCATTTCATGTTGTCCTCGAGTCCCCATGTTCTTTCTGTGCCAGTTATTCTCTAAGCTACACATTTTTTGATATGAAGATTATGTTGTACATGGAATGCAGATTTCCTCCTTATAACTATAACTGATGAGGAGAGCTACAAAATTTCTAAATGAAGTATGAATTGAAGAATGGCAAGTTCCTACAGAAAACGAGTACATTTTCCTCTTATTTTTATATGTAAGTTTCACATGTCATCCCTTGTAAGACATGAGGAAATATCACTTGGACCATTCAGCAGCTTCTCTAAGGTCATCACATTCCATATTCCTGATCATCAGTCTTTTTTTTAATTTGCGAGACAGAGTTACAGAAAGAGGAGAGGAAGAGATAGAGCGAGATCTTCAATTCACAGGTTCATTTCCCAAATGGCTGCAATGGCCAGAGCTGGGCCAATCTGAAGCCAGGAGTCAAGAAATTGGTTTGGGTCTTCCATGTGGGTGAAGGGGCCCAAGAACTTAGGACATCCCACGCTGGTTTCCCAGGTGCATTAGCAGGGAGCTGGTTCAGAAGTAGAGCAGTTGGGACTCAAACCAGGACCCAAATGGGATGTTGGCACTGCAGGCAGCAGCTTTACCTGTTATGCCACAGCCCCAGCTTCCTGATCACCAGTCTTAATGTCAGTACTTGGTTTGAACTAGTGTCTGGATTCTGATGTCTATACCACCATACTGTAAATACTTGACTCTAAAGTCAAGTATATACTGTCATCGGAATCTTAACTGTGAGTATACTTGCTGATGTTGATCCCAACTGGAAACTCTATATGTGACTGTAAAGCACTCCGGGTGTCCAGTGAACTGGGCTGTCCATTTTTGAGGGCCCCAGGACATGGTGAATATACCTAAATGCTTAGAGCAACAAATTGATCCTGAAAGGGGTTGAGGCCCATAGGCACAGGAAGAGATTGCATTTTTTTTTACTTTCTACTGAGGGCTCATTTAGCTGGCACCATTCTCTCACACACATATTCTAAAATTCTACATAACCATTCTTTGCTGCACTTTAAATTTCAAACCTCATCATCAATATATGGTCAGCAGCCAGCTTGCTATAGTGTAGCAAGTGTGGTTTGCTGTTCATATGTTTACGCTCCACAGAATCTGAACTGGCTGTTCACTCTATGCCAGAAGAATCACCACAACAGTTACTCTTGCTATTTGCTTCTGGTTAGTTTCATTCAGAAAGTAGTATAATGGAGTAACAAGGGAACAAATTCAGAGGACAAGGAAGCAAGATGTAGTCAAACACTTCTTAATCAGGGATTTTTGGCAGCAATGGAGAACAGTTTTGATGATCCTTCATGAGATGAGACAAAGGGCAAAAAATACAATCAAATATTGCATTTGATTATGAATGTTACTTTATTCACTAATAAAGCTGAGTTCTCATCTATATCTTCTCCATGTATTAATGGAATTGTGTTAATCTTTCATTCATATCTGCCTACCACTCCTCTTAGTCATTCATCTTACTTCCCAAATTTAAGTAGAATATTTTCCATATTCTGTCTAGGATCATTCTCATTTCACATCGTTGCTAGGAAAATTACTCAGAATCACAAATAGGATTAGGTTATCCCTGTCTGTGAACCCGTTACTATTCTTCATCAACCAGAGGTACACAATCTCCCCCTTGATTCTTGGGGATATCATTGGCCTGCCTGGGAGGCATTCTGACATCCAGTTGCAGAAATCTTTGGTTTTTCCAAGGAGGCTCTTTTTACTTCTGTCACATTCACTTACCCTGATTATCCTTCACAAATCAAATTAAACCTCTGTACTTCTCTCCCTGCCTCCTTCTAACTATTATCAACTAACTCAAGTATAGACATAGAAATTAGAGCAAAAATTGTGCTGTGCTTCATACTGTTTGACATTTCATCATATATGACTTGAACCTTTGGATAATAGTGTAGGAAATGTGCAGGCATCAGAGAGCCTTGACTCTGCTATTCTGTGCATGACTGTAACCATGTACATAGTTTTTGCCTTTAAATAACTCCCCTTACCAACCAAGGATAAGGGTACTTACCTTAAAAAGTTATTGCTGGTTTGAAATGAAGCTATGTGAGCATGTTTCTGAAAAAAGTACTTGTAAAACACGTAGTGCTCAAAAATGATTTTTACTATTCACATTACAACAGAATGACTAAAATTCATTCATTCATCCATGCCTGTATTTTGTTCTGATTATTATAAATTATGGAAATTTGTTCAATCTACTACATGATAATGTTAAAGAATGGCTAAGAGAGGGCCAGTGCTTTGGTGCACTGGGTTAATCCTCCGCCTGTGGTGCCAGCATCCAATATGGGCACTGTTTCTAGTCCCCGTTGCTCCTCTTCCAGTCCAGCTCTCTGCTATGGCCTGGGATAGCAGTGGAAGATGGCCCAAGTCCTTGGGCCCCTGCACCCACATGGGAGACTAGGAGGAGGCACCTGATTCCTGGCTTTGGATTGGCGTGGCTCTGGCCTTTGCGGCCATTAGGGGAGTGAACCAACGGAAGGAAGACCTTTCTCTCTATCTGTCTCCCTCACTGTCCGTAACTCTACCTGTCATATAAATAAATAAAATCTTCAAAAAAAAAAAAAAAAAAAAAGAATGGCTAAGAGGTGGGTGTGATTGTGTATTAATAATATTAAGCACTCAGGTCTGGTGCTGTGTCACAGTGGTTAAAGCCCTGGCCTGAAGCGCCAGCATCCTTTATGGGGACTGGTTCTAGTCCTGGCTGCTCCTCTCTGATCCACCTCTTTGCTACGGCCTGGGAAAGCAGTGGAAGATGGCCCAAGTCCATGGACGGAAGACCTCTCTCTGTCTCTACCTCTCTCTGTAACTCTTGGAATTAAAACAAATAATAATAATATTAAACACTGAGACCAAAACAATGAAAAGCCCATAGCAATAACTCAGTAAACTTTTGTTTGGTGAAAGAATGGATGGATAACATTATTTTCCAACCACTTCTTAAAAACCAAAAACTTTATTGTCATTTCTTTAATACTAACAATAGCATATGTGAACTAGTTGTTCTTGAAGACAAACACTGACAACCCATTTTCTCTTGGAGATCCTTATATTTGGGTTGACAAGTGGTTTTAAAAGAAAGAAAACTAGGTAGCTTTCTGCTTATAAATGACAATATTAATTATAATTGTTGACAAAATGGTTGGTATTATAGAGAATTTTTCTCAACACTGAGAGTTATGCTTCTCAATTCATTCACAGTAGTTAGTGTAACCCATGGTCTGAGTTAAAAAAAAAAAAAAAGGCAACAGGATTATTTTTCTATGTTTATCTCACAAAAACATTCACTGTAACTTATAATATATAAAAAAGTAACTATAGTTGACTTATTAATATACATCACAATGATAATAAATATATGGCCCAACACAATGGTTAGTAGCTCATAAGTGTATGCAGCACTTAATTTTTACTTAAAATGATAATTTAAATTTTAGGGTTATAAAAATAGAATAAATACCTTTTTAAAAGATTTACTTTATTTATTTGAAAGATTGAGTCACAGAAAGAGAGAGAGCCAGAGAGAGAGAGAGAAAGGTCTTCCATCGCAAGTTCATTCTTCAGATGGCCTTAGTGGTTGGAGATGGGCTGATCTGAATCCAGAAGCTTCTTCCGGGTCTCCCATGTGGGTGCAGGGATCCAAGCACTTGAGCCATCCTCTGCTGATTTCCCAGGTGCATTACCAGAGAGATGGATCAGAAATGGGGCAGCCAGGACATAAACCAGCACCTATGTGGGATGCCAGCACTGCAGGCCAGGGCTTTCACCCACTGTACCACAGCACCAGTCCCCCCAAAAATATTTTATTATTGTTACTAGTTGTTACTTTTTTTTTTTTTTTTTGACAGGCAGAGTGGACAGTGAGAGAGAGAGAAAGACAGATCTTCCTTTTTCCGTTGGTTCACCCTCCAATGGCCACTGCGGCAGGCGCACTGCGCTGATCCGAAGCCTGGAGCCAGATGCTTCTCCTGGGCCCAAGGACTTGGGCCATCCTCCACTGCACTCCCGGGCCATAGCAGAGAACTGGACAGGAAGAGGAGCAACCGGGACAGAATCCGGTGCTCTGACCGGGACTATAACCCGGTGTGCCGGTGCCACAGGCGGAGGATTAGCCTGTTGAGCCACGGCGCCGGCCAGTTGTTACTATTTTTTTTTTTTTTTTAGTTGTTACTATTTTTTAAAAGAAAGAAAAAGATGGAGGTTGAGACAATACAGAGAGAGAGAGAGAGAGAGCTTCTAGTCACTTTTTCATGCTCCAAATGCCACAAAAATTGAGACTAAGCCACGCTGAAACGAGAAGGCAGAACTGAATCTGAATCACTCACAAGGGCAACAGAAACCAACTACTTGAACCGTCACCACTACCATCCAGAGTGTTCATTAGTTAGAGGCTGGAATAAGAGGAAATAAGAACTGATCCCAAGATGCAGGTTTTCCACGCAATATAACTGATGTTCCATTCAACCTGAGGGCATGCTTTTTAATGTATTTAATGTATTACTATATGAATCTTAAATATTAACTGTTCTTAAATGTATGCCAAACTACAATAGCAATAAGTTTAGTTCGTTTATTTTTAACTTTTAATTTTAAGACATATTCTTTGTTTTTCAAAATTCCAATATTTGATGCAGATGTCTATACCTGATATACAGAAAGTTTTTAAATGGGAAGATGTAGTGACTTTTTCACTGCAAAGTTTAAACAATTTATATTTGTTTAACCACAATATATATCAGCCACTATATAACAGCACAGAAACACTATGAACATAAATGAATATTCTAGTAATGATTTCCATGTATCTACTTCTCTATTCCCCTAAATTATCTATCAATAAATAGGACATCATCTGTACATTTGTGAAACACATTCACTAAATTCACTAACTTCTAATTACTAAAACACACATGACAGCCTCATAACATAAGGACATTTTCCAGAAAATGTAAACCATCTTATTCAAGGTGTTATCCAAATTTCTTGGCATCCCTTCTTTACAATATATATTTTATCATCTTTAATTTTTTTCTTAAAAAGTGCAGTTAATCCTACAGTATTCAGAAAAATTGACAATTTTCAAATCTACACAAGAAAATACATGTGAATGAAAGTTAAAAGGATGATAAAATGCCTGAATATAATGATTTGTAAATCTTTCAGAACAAAAGTGCAAAAAAATGGTAGCTACACACTTCAAAATAATTAAATTAGTAAGAGTTCCATTTGTTGTGCCCTCTTTAGTTATATACAGCCATTCAATTTCAAATATTAGTATTATAAAAAATAGTAGTTGCAGATATATTTAATAATTATATCATAACCTTTATAGAACAAATTACAAACAATAATTCTATGATTACTTATTGAAGAATGCTGATTTTATAAAAATATCACAGAACACATCTTATTGTGTCTTGTAACATAGAATTTGGTTAATTTACCAACTCAAAATTGAGATGTCATTCTATTCTACTTCTATACATGTCAGTGATAGCTTTGTCCTAAAGCTGAGAAAGGATAACTATTTTTGTCAGACATTCCAATTATAGTAACAAGAGGTTTGCTACTGTAAGTAGCCAAAAGGAAGAAAATATCATTTTTCTTTGCAAACTATCTGGATAAGCATTTCCTAATGCCCTATTTGCAAACAGCATTGGATTAAAGTTCTTGGAAAATGAAGGTGGAGTCATGTCAATCTCAGAAACACAGCTGCATGGGACAGGATTGAATGTATCATGAAGACCAAAGTTCACAAAGAAAAGTTGATGAAATTTATAAAGGTTTCTTGGAAAAACGAGTTCAAATCATCTTATCTTAACAGATTGAAATGCCTGGTACAATACTGAAGTAGAATAGATAACCCTTACCTTTATATAATAAATTATATTCTTATAAATATATTCAGAGAGTTTCATAATCTGGAATATCACTCTTTTGATAAATGTTATATGCCTTCAATATGGCATTGGAACCTCTGTTTAATATCAATTTTGTTGAATGGCTATTTTCTGGCAGTTCTATCAATATTTTCTTCATGTATTTTGAAGTTTTGCTATTAGGATCACTGACATTGGGCCAGTTTTGGGACACAGTGGATTAAGGCACCACTTAAAACATCAGCATCCCATATGCAAGCACCAATTCTAGTACCAGGTACTCTGTTACTGATCCAGCTCCCTGCTAATGTACATGGGAAGGAAGCAGATGATGGTCCAATCCTTGGGCCCTGCCACTCCTGGAGGACACCCAGGTGGAGTTCTGGGATTCGACCTGGCCTAGACTGGCCCATCAAAGCCATTTAGGGTGTAAACCAGTGAATAGAAAATCTATTTCTGCTTTTCCCTCTAGTCACATGGCCTATCAAATAAAAAAAAAATCTTTTAAAAAAGAATGTTATGATCTCCTGCTTGATTCTCCCCATTATAACTGACAAATAAATTCGTTTAATGAGAATTACATTCTTTGTTTTGAAATTGACATTGGAGTTTCTGAGATGGTGGACTGGGAAGGGAGCTTACTGCTCTAGCCTAGGAGAAGATAGTTTAAAAAAGGGAAGATAGTATAGTCTCTGGGAAGTTAGGGAAAAAAGGGCAGAGAAAACTCTACCAAAATTCGAGGGACACGATGAACCTATGTGGAGTGCATGGGCACCCACTGCTCAGGACTACAACAGCCTAGAGCCTATGCACCAGTGCTGGAAAGTGAGGTGAGACCAGACCACAGCAGCCAAAGCCACTGGCGAAAAAGTGTTAGGTAGAACCTAGAGGGAACCAGACTTTGAGCCCAATGGGTGGAAGTGTACCAGCCAAATTAGAGGAGAGAAAAAAAAATGGGATGGGCATGTCTCTCTTCCCTGATCATTTTACAAGACTGTTACAGGTATTCTAAGAAGCCAGCAGAGCAGGTGCCATTTTGAACATATGTAACAGCTGTGCTAGCCCATGTCTGCACCAAGCAACCAACTGAGTGAAAACTCCTGACTCTGGTGGGGAGAACTAACAGGTAACTAGGAGTTTGCGCTGTGTGAAGCTTCTGAACCAAGAATGTGGAAAAAACTGAGAGTTAGGGAGGACTCACAGTGTGGCTGGGACTTTGAGCAGTCTCAGTGATAGACTCCACAAGCATGGGGGTTCCTGGTTACCTGGTTACATTGCTGGGAAATCTGATCTTACACTGAAGACTGCACAGACCCATTGTCTGGTCTTTGGGACAGAGCAGATGAATATTATACCCTTATAAGCACTGGGGCTAGTGCTCAGGAACTGGTCTCCATTGAGGAGAGGACCTCAGCTGAGCAGAACAAAGTTCCCTTCTGATTAAAGAAAAGAGAGAGAGAGAGATCTAGAAGATTTACCACACCAAACCTGAGTATGTCACCTTAGGCATGCCCTTAACCCTGAAGAACTAAACAGAGCTCTCTGACCACACCTACTACAAACCTCCAGAGATTCATTGAAAGCAGACATTCCACTTATCTACAGAGTCATAGTACAATAATAAAAGCTACTACCACAAAAAATAAATAAATAAATAATAAAAAAAACAGGTATTTCCACAAATGCCAAACGGAAATAAAAAGAATCATTAGAAATCACTACAAAGAGTTGTATGCCCAACTGGGAAACCTAGCAGAAACGCATAAATTCCTACACTCATACAACCTACCTAAATTGAAGACATCAAAAATCTAAACAGACCCATAACCAAGAGGGAAATTGAACCACTAATAAATGCCCTCCCAACAAAGAAAAGCCCAGGACAACAAGGATTCACTGCTGAATTCTACCAGACATTTAAAGAAGAACTAACTCAAATAACTCTGAAGTTATTCAAAGCAATTGAAAGAGAGGGAATCCTCCCAAATTCTTTCTAAAAAGATAGCATCACATTAATTCCTAAACCTGAAAAAGATGCAACATTAAAAGAAATTACAAACCAATATCCCTGATGAACATAGATGCAAAAATGTTCAACAAAATTATAGCCAACTGAATCCAACAACACATCAGAAAGATCATCCACCAGGACCAAGTGGGATTTATCCCTTATGCATGGATGGTTCAACAGTCACAAATCAATCAATGTGTTACACCACATCAATAAGCTGCTAAAGAAAAACTATATGATTATCTCAATAGATGCAGAGCAAACATTTGATAAAATACAACACCCTTCCATGATGAAAAATCTAAGCAAAATGGGTATAGAAGGAACATTCCTCAACACAATAAAGGCAATTAATGACAAACCCACAGCCAGCATCCTATTGAATGGGCAAAAGTTGGAAACATTTCCACTGAGAGCCGGTACCAGCCCACTTTCATCATTGCTATTCAATATTTTACTAGTAGTTTTAGCCAGAACCATTAGGCAAGAAAGAGACAAGGGATACAAAATGGGAAGCAAAATGTCAAACTATCCCTATTTGCAGATAACATGATTCTTTATATAGGAAATCCACAAGACTCAACTGAGAGGCTACTGAAACTCATAGAAGGGTTTGGTAAAAGCAGGAATAAAATTAATACACAAAAATCAACAGCCTTAAGCCAGCGCCACCACTCACTTGGCTAATCCTCTGCCTGCGGTGCTGGCACCCCCATTTCTAGTCCCGGTTGGGGCAACGGATTCTGTCCTGGTTGTTCTTCCATTCCAGCTCTCTGCTGTGCCCCAGAATGCAGTGGGGGAAGGTCCAAGTGCTTGGGCCCTGCACCCACATGGGAGACCAGGAGGAAGCACCTGGCTCCTGATCAGTGCAGCATGCCAGCCATAGCGGCCATTTGGGGAGTGAACCAACAGAAAAGGAAGACCTTTCTCTCTGTCTCTCTCTCTCTCACTGTCTAACTCTGCCTGTCCAAAAAAAAAAAAAAAAGTTAATTGCCTTTGTATGCACAGAAAATGCCACACTGAGAAAGAATTGCTAAAATGAATCCCATTCACAATATTTACCAAAAAAAATCAAATACCTTGGAATAAACTTAACCAAGGATGTCAAAGAAACAGAAAAATGGAAAAATCTTCCATGTTCATAGATTGGAAGAATCAATATCAACAAAATGTCTATTCTTCCAAAAGCAGTTTACACATTCCATGTGATACCAGTGAAAATACCAAAAACATTCTTCGCAGATCCATAAAAAATGATGCTGAAATTCATATGAAGTTTCGGGAGACCTCAAATAGCTAAAGTAATCTCATACAACGAAAACAATGCCAGGGCATCACAATACCAGATTTCAAGACATACTACAGGACATTTATAATCAAATGGCCTGGTACTAATACTGAAACAGATGGAATAAACCAATTAACAAATTAAAAACACAATCCAAACATCTACAACCAACTTATATTTGATGAAGGAGATAAAACCAACTCCTGGACCAAAAACAGTTGATTCAACTAATGGCGCTGGGTAAAAATTCCACATGCAGAAGAATGAAGCAAAAAATTCACTCAACATGGATTAAAAATCTAAATCTATAACCTGACACCAAATTATTAGAGGACATTGAAGAAACCATGCAAGATATTGGCACAGGCTAAGGCTTCTTGGAAAAGACCCCATAGGCACAGGCAGCCAAAGCCAAAATTAACAACTGGGATTACATCAAGTTGAGAAGTTTTTGTACAGCAAAAGAAACAGTAAGAAATGTGAAGAGGCAGCTGACAGAATGGGAGAAATTCTTTGCAAACTATGCAACTGACAAAGGATTAATAACCAGCAATTACAAAGAGATCAAAAAACTCCACAACAAAACAACCCACTTAAGAGATAGGCAAAGGACCTAAGAAGACATTTTTTAAAAGAGGAAATCCAAATGTCCAAAAGACACATGAAGAAATTTTCAAGATCACTAGCCATCAAGGAAATGCATATCAGAACCACAATGAGATTTCACATCAATCTGGTTAGATTGACTTTCATCCAGAAATCAACAAACAACAAATGCTGGCAAGGATGTGGGAAAAAAGGTACCCTAATCCACTGTTCGTAGAAATCAAAACTGGTAAAACCACCATGGAAGACAGTTTGGAGATACCTCAGAAATCTGAATATAGTCTGACCATATGACCCAGCAATCCACCCACTCAGAATTTAACCAAGAGAAATGAAATCAGAAAATAAAATAACTACCTGTACCACCATGTTTATTGCAACTCAATTCATAATGCATAAGACATGGAATCAACCTATGCCCATCAACAGAAGAATGGATAAAGAAATTATGGGATATGTACTCTATGGAATACTACACAGTGGTAAAAACAAAAAATGAAATCCGGCCATTTGCAACAAAATGGAGGAATCTGGAAAAAATCATACTGAATGAAATAAGCCAGTACAAAGGGGACAAATATCATTTGTTTTCCCTGATCTGTGACAAATAATTGAGCACCTAATAAGAAACCTCTAGAAGTGAAATTGACACTATGAGAAGCAATAATTTGATCAGCTCTTTTCCTGACTGTCAAGGAACAGATTTTATTCTTTTCGTTATTCTTTTTCTACTTGATACCACTGGTTGAATTCTTTACTTAACGAAGAAATATTCTTAGGTGTTTAAATCCAATTGAAAATTGATCCCTGGAAAGAATAAGAATGGGAATAAGAGAGGGAGGACATGTACAGTTTTTCACCCCTTCTCATGAACTTACACCTAAGGGTAAAGCTAAAACTTGTCATGGGACTCCAAAACCCATTCTGTTGGAAGGTACAAATGACATCTTTCTAGTAAAAGTGATAATTTTAAGTACACAACTGAACATAAAGATAGGAATAAATATCAAAGGGATCACATAAATATGACCAAGTGTCTGCTAATAAGAAAAAGAGAATTAAAAAGCAGAGAATGATTCAACATGGCAAATAGGCCACAGAGTAGACTCATAGAATGACAAACACCATAAACAGCACTCTGGCCTCAGAATCAGCCCTAAGTACATTCAGATCTGGCTAAAAAAGCCCATAAGAGTATTTCATGCATGGAAATCCAAGACACTTTGGCAAAAAATGGCCTACATGAAGGATCGCTGTGAGATCCCAGTGGAAAGAATGGACCATCAAAGAAGGATGTATTTTGCTCTAAAGGGAGGAGAGAAATTCTACTTTGCTTATGGCCCTGTCTAAATAATGATGGAATTTGTGGACTCCAAAGGCTTCCACAGCCTTGGAAGCTCAGGACAAGAGTCTTGGGTCATCACTGATACCATGAAAGTCTCAACAGTTAAATCAAAAAGAGGAGTCATTGGGCACTTGCTTCCCATATAGTATCTCTGTCCTTAATGAGTTATATTATGAGAATTAATGATAAAACTTATCTTAAAACAGTACTTATACATTTGTTGTCTATGTGGGTGCAAATTGTTGAGATATATACTTAGTATAGAGTTGATCTTCTGTATATGAAGATTATTTAAAAAGAATCTTAATGAAGAATGGGATGGGAGAGAGAGTAGGAGGTGGGACACGAGTGGGGGTGGGAGGGTAGCTATGGAGAGGAAGAACTGTTATATTACAAAAGCAGTACTTCTGAAACTTATATTTATTAAATATAAGCTTTCCAACAACAATAACAAAAATAAAAGTAATTACCATTGCTGTATGTAAATATGGGACATCTTCCATGAGAATGAAAATTCTCCAATCTATGAGCATGGAGGTACAGGAAACCTCGAAAAGCAATCTTGTACAATAAAAAGAGAGCGAGAGACACCACAATACCAGATTTCAGGACATACTATAGGGAAGTTATGATCAAACTAGCATGGTACTGGTACAGAAACAGATGGATAGACCAATGGAACAGAATAGAAACACCAGAAAACAACCCAAACATCTACAGCCAACTTATATTTGATCAAGGATCTAGAGCCATTCTGAAGTAAGGACAGCCTATTCAATAAATGGTGCTGGGAAAACTGGATTTCCAAATGCAGAAGCAAGAAGCAAGACCCCTACCTTACACCTTACACAAAAATTCACTCAACATGGATTAAAGACCTAAATCTACAACCCGACACCATCAAATTATTACAGAACATTGGATAAACCCTGCAAGATATCGGCACTGGCAAAGACTTCTTGGAAAAGACCCCAAATGGCCAAAAGCCACATGAAAAAATGTTCAAGATCACTAGCCATCAGGGAAATGCAAATCAAAACCACAGTGAGGTTTCACCTCACCCCGGTTAGAATGGCTCATATTCAGAAATCTACCAACAACAGATGCTGGCGAGGATGTGGGGGAAAAGGGACATTAACCCACTGTTGGTGGGAATGCAAATTGGTTAAGCCACTGTGGAAGTCAGTCTGGAGATTCCTCAGAAACCTGAATATAACCCTACCATACAACCCAGCCATCCCACTCCTTGGAAATTACCCAAAGGAAATGAAATTGGCAAACAAACAAGCTGTCTGCACCTTAATTTTTATTGCAGCTCAATTCACAATCAATAAGACATGGAATCAACCTAAATGCCCATCAACAGAAGACTGCATATAGCAATTATAGGACATGTACTCTATAGAATACTATACAGCAGTCAAAAACAATGAAATCCGGTCATTTGCAACAAAACAGAGGAATCTGGAAACCATCATGCTGAGTGAATTAAGCCAGTCCCAAAGGGACAAATATCATATGTTCTCCCAGATCGGTGACAACTAACCAACTACAAAAAAGGAAACCTGCTAAAGTGAAAAGGACACTATGAGAAAGAGTGACTTGATCAGCCCTTGTCCTGAATGAAGATGAACAACTTAATACTTTATCCCTTTTAGTATTTTTTTTTCTGTTCTACTTAATAGTATTGGTTGAACTCTCTAATAAACACACAATAGGCCAGTGCCACGGCTCACTAGGCTAATCCTCCGCCTTGCCGCGCCAGCACACCAGGTTCTAGTCCCAGTCGGGGCGCCGGATTCTGTCACTGCTGCCCCTCTTCCAGGCCAGCTCTCTGCTGTGGCCAGGGAGTGCAGTGGAGGATGGCCCAAGTACTTGGGCACTGCACCCCATGGGAGACCAGGATAAGTACCTGGCTCCTGCCATTGGGTCAGCGAGGTGCACCGGCCGCAGCACACTGCCCGCGGTGGCCATTGGAGGGTGAACCAATGGCAAAGGGAAGACCTTTCTCTCTGTCTCTCTCTCTCTCACTGTCCACTCAGCCTGTCAAAAAAATTAAAAAAAAAATGTTTAAAAAAAAAAGCACACAATTATTCTTAGGTGTTGAAATTTAACTGAAAAGTGAATCCTGTTAAATATGAGTGGGAATAAGAGAGGGAGGAAATGTACAATTTGGGACATGTGCAAGCTGACCTGCCCCAAACGGTAGAGATAGAAACGTGCCAGGGGATTCCTATTCAGTCCCATCAAGGCGGCATGTACCAATGCCATCTCACTAGCTAAAGTGATCAGTTAAAGTTCACAATTGATAATAATGACAGGATTAAGAATCAAAGCGATCATATAAACAAGACTAGTGTCTGCTAATACTGATAGAATAAAAAGGTGAGAGAATGATCCAACATGAGAAGCGGGATACACAGCAGACTCATAGAATGGCAGATGTCCTAACAGCACTCTGGCCTCAGAATCAGCCCTTAAGGCATTTGGATCTGGCCTCAGAGCCCATGAGAGTATTTTAGGCATGGAAAGCCAAGACACTCTGGCAAAAAAAAAAACCAAGACTTGGCAACTCATGACAAGAGCTTAGGGTGATTACTGATGCCATAAACAAGAGTGTCAATTCGTTAAGTCAACAGGAGTCACTGTGCACTTACTCTTCATGTAGGATCTCTGTCCTTTGTGTGCTGTACAATGTGAATTAATGTTATAACTAGTACTCAAACAGTACTTTACACTTTGTGTTTCTGTGTGGGTGCAAACTGCTGAAATCTTTACTTAAAATATACTAAATTGATCTTTTGTATATAAAGATAATTGAAAATGAATCTTAATGTGAATAGGATGGGAGAGGGAGTGGGAGATGGGAGGGGTGCCGGTGGGAGGGTAGTTATAGGGTGGAAAAAGCCACTGTAATCCATAAGCTGTACTTTGGAAATTTATATTTATTAAATAAAAGTTAAAAAAATGGGACCTCGTTTGGCTAGTGTTAACAGATGGACCTTTATTTTTAACACATTCATGTCTTTATCTTTAACATGTATTAATTCTGACTGGTATATATTTGTGTTTTGTTTATATTTATTCTGTTAAAACTGACATTTTTGTGGGTTTTCATACCACTTAAACTTAATCAGGTTACTTATGTGGTTGAATTTCAGTCTTACATTTTATTATTTCTTTTGCATTTATGATAGACAATTTTTGCTGCATACTTTTCTGTTGATATCTGATTTTATTTCTATTTCTGTGGATGATTTGAATACCTCTTCTTATTATTTTCTGGTCGCTGATTTGTAGGCTATGATTAGCATCTTAATTTATCATAATTTACCTTGAAATGATTTCAAAACATTCAGACTCATTTGTGAGTTTAGTACAGGGAATGAATATGTGATGAATGAAAAACACCTGACACAGTTAAAAAGTACACTCTTTGTTCTTAGTAAGATGTACCCAAGCAGAATATTACCTTATTTTAGTTTTTTAAATTTAGTTGAAAAGCAGAGTTAGAGAAACAGAGAGATAGAGAGAGGTCTTCCATCACTGGTTCACTCCCCAAATGGCTGCAACAACTGGGACAGGGGCTGCTCCAGGATGAAGGCTGGAGACAGAATCTTCTTCCAGGTCTCTCACAAGTATGCAGGGGCCCAAACACTTGGGCCATTTTCTGCTGAGTTTTTCAAACCATTAGCAGGGAACTGGATCAGAAATAGAGAAGCTGTGATTTCAAGCAGCACACACTTCTTCCAGGTCTCTCACAAGTACGCAGGGGCCCAAACACTTGGGCCATTTTCTGCTGAGTTTTTCAAACCATTAGCAGGGAACTGGATCAGAAATAGAGAAGCTGTGATTTCAAGCAGCACACATATGGGATGCCAACATAGCAAGCATTGATTTTACCTCTTAAGCAACAATGCTGGTCCCAAAATCAATGGTCGTTTTTGAACAAGAAAATGACACCATTAATTTACTCTTTTTTCAAAATATGAATGTACCATCACAAATCACAAATGAGTAAATAAATAATAGTATCTAGAAAATTAGGTAGCAGATGGCTTAATCTAATCTAATAAAAGGGGAAATGAATGTTTATTATTCAATGTAGAGAAATATGAAGTTTCAAATTATGAATCTAAAGTTGAATGTACACAACTTTATTTCAATTAATTCTTCAGTTGTACCTAAATTTGTAAGGTATAATATCATGTACAAATGGCATTTAGATTTTTTTCAGCTAGTAAAAAATCAAGAGATCGTAAAAATAACAGCTATTATTTATTCTATACTAAACAATATTTCCAACACTTTATGTTTTCAGAAAAAAATGGGATCACTTCTATTATCTAACTTTAAAGAAAATGAAACTGAAACCTAAAGAAACTAAGTAGTTGGTTTCCCAAGAACATTAAATTATGAAGTGGTGAAGTTCTGGACTAGCCATGATCTGATTAAAAGCCATTTATTTTCCAAATTCAATGCTCTGTGTAGTTCCTATATCCCTTAAAAGGATCCAAACATCAAACTACACTTTATGATAAAACCTGTGTAATACTGCAGGTGAACACTGCTCCAAGCCAAATATTCTATTACCCTCTAGAACAGAGTTTGATGAGATCACGTTGATTCAAGTGCACTGAAAATATGAAGTGTAAAAACCTATGTTAGTGGATATTCTCTCCTCTGCCTATAGTTGGGCTTTTGATAAACTGACAGTCAAAAATCCATTTATGTCTAAATTTTATACAAAAAAGAATGGCAAAAATGTAAATTACATTTACAGTTAATGATTTTTTTGACAAGCAGAGTTAGACAGTGAAAGTGAGAGAGAGAGAGAGAAAGGTCTTCCTTCATCCCCTAAATGGCTGCTACAGCCAGCGCACCGCGCTGATCTGAAGCCAGGAGCCACGTGCTTCCTCCTGGTCTCCCATGTGGGTGCAGGGCCCAAGCACTTGGGCCATCCTCCACTGCCTTCCTGGGCCACAGCAGAGAGCTGGACTAGAAGAGGAGCAACCGAGACAGAATGAAGTGCCCCAACCAGGACTAGAAACGGGTGCCAGCACTGCAGGTCTCCACCTGCCAAGTGAGCCATGGTACCGGCCAGTTAATAATTTTTATTCTACTCACTAATACTTTGTCATTTGAGAAAATCAGGTTATTCTACAATGTGTTCAGCTTAGATTTACCAAGTCATCAACTTTTATCCTATCTTATAAATACTGATGAAGATTAAAACTCAGAAAGGGGCCAGTGTTGTGTTGTAATAGGTTAAGCCACAACCTGCAATGCCAGCATCTTATATAGGTGCTGGTTCACAACGCATTTCTTCTACTTCCAATGCAGCTCCCTGCTAGTGTACCTAGGAAACCAGAAGAAGATGAAATGTTTGGGCTCCTGCATTTACACGGGAGACCTTGCCCAGCACTGGCAATTGTTACCATTTGGGGGGCCAGTGCCGCGGCTCACTAGGCTAATCCTCCGCCTTGCGGCGCCAGCACACCAGGTTCTAGTCCCGGTCAGGGTGCCGGATTCTGTCCCAGTTGCCCCTCTTCCAGGCCAGCCCTCTGCTGTGGCCAGGGAGTGCAGTGGAGGATGGCCCAAATACTTGGGCCCTGCACCCCATGGGAGACCAGGAGAAGCACCTGGCTCCTACCTTTGGCCGCAGCGTACCGACACCAGTGGCCGTTGGAGGGTGAACCAACCGCAAAGGAAGACCTTTCTCTCTCTCTCTCTCTCACTGTCCACTCTGCCTGTCAAAAAAAAAAAAAATTGTTACCATTTGGGGAGGGATCTAGTGAATGTAGGACTTCTCTGTCTCTCCTTCTCCCTCTGTAACTTTGACTTTCAAGCAAATAAATAGTTTAAAAATCAAGAAAATATTTTGGGCTGGCATTGTATTGAAGCAGGTAAAGCCACAACCTGCTATGCCAGCATTCACTATGGTACAGGTTCAGATCCCAGTAGCTCTGTTTCTGATCCAGCTCCCTGCTAATGGTCTGGGAAAGTTGTAGAGTATATCTCAAATGCTTGGACCCATCACCCAAAAGGGCTAAGAAACTCCTGGCTCCTGGCTTCAATCTGGCCAAGACCCAGCCATCATAGCCATTTCGGGAGTGAACCAGTTGAAAGATGGTTTCTCTTTCTCCCTCTCCCTCTCCCTCTCCTCTCCCTCTCCAAATTTGCTTTCCAAATAATTAAGTAAACTTTTAAGAAAGAACATATGAACACTAAAATCTTTAATGTTGATAAAAATTAACAATCCTAATATGTTCATTTGAAACACATCTGGGCTAGACATTTGACCTGGTGATAATGATGCAGGTAAAGACACTCATCCCCTCATCAGAGCACTTGGTGACTCCATGGACCTGATAACACAGCTCTGTGGGTCCACAGGGTTGGCTAAGTAATTGAATTCCTGCTACCCATGTGGGAAACCAGGATTGAATTCCTAACAACCAGTGATCGACCCAGAGACTCAGCTACACCTTGCAACCTCTCATGTAACCACGGAGTCCCCATAGTCTTAGCACACAGGATGCAAGGCTCACACTGAGGCAGCTTGAGCTCCAGAACTTGTTTTATGCCTTACTGGGGTTGAATTACAGTTCTTCATGGGCGCCTTACCACCTGTCAATCCTTCCAGTCAAGCTCAGAGTAAGTGGAGACTGTGGCTATTTCCATTTGAATCTCTGGATTACACACATACTCTAGAGCCATGGGCCAAATGCTGCTCTTTCCCTGCCACTGCTGCCAGTACTACTAAGAAGATGGCATTCTGTCTTGGCCAGTTGCTGTGCACGTACACAAAGTCACCAGCAGCCACCACCTAAATCCAAAATTGCAACCATACTTTCTCAGCCAGGGAGTGGTACTGTTGTGGGGAGATTGAGGTGAGATAAACACATCCCTTTTATTTACACTGAGTCCATGGTTTCCTAAAAACAATTCTGGAGATTTATGGGATACTATCAATGTACACAACATATACTATCAATGTACCCAACATCCCAATATACAGGTCTTTGCAGTTCCTCAAGGCATGGAAAGAGAGAATGGATTAGAAAGTCTATTTACTGAAATATATACAGAAAACTTCCCCAATTTGGAGAAAGAAACAGATGTCCATTTGCAGGAAGCACATAGAATTTCAAAATAGATATGACCATTGTAGTCAAACTTTCCATAGAAAAACATAGAGAAGATTCTAAAATGTGCACGAAAGGATCACCAACTTACTTTCAGAGGATCTCCAATTAGACTCACCATGGACTTTTCGTAAGAAATCCTACAGGCTAGGAGAGAATGGCAAGACATAGTTCAAGTCTTAAGAGAAAAAAACTGTCAACTCAGAATACTTTACCCTGCAAAGCTCTCATTTATGAATGACAGTGAAATAAAGACCATTCATAATATAAGTAGGAAGAATTTTTGATCACTCTTCTGGCATTACAAAAGATGTTTCAAGAAACACAGAAAGATAGCCGGCATGATAAAAGAATGTGAGGGGCTGGCACTGTATTATAGCAGGTAAAGCCACTGCCTGCAGCACCAACACCCCATATAGGCACTGGTTCAAGTCCCAACTACTGAACTTCTGATCCTGCTCTCTCTTATTGTGCTTGGTAAAGCAGCTAAAGATGGCCCAAGTCCTTGGGCCCCTACATCCATATGGGAGACCTGAAATAACATCCAGGCTCCTCATTTTGGATTGACCCAGCTCCAGCCATTGCAGCCATTTAGGGAGTATAGCAGTGAATTGAAGACTTCTCTCTCTCTGACCTCTGCCTCTGCCTCTCTGTATCTCTGTCTCTCAAATAAATAATCTTTAAAAAATGTGAAGGCAGAAAATACTCAAGCAAAAGAGCAAAAGAAATCCAAGGTAAATAATAGGAATATTTATGAAACAATGGCAGGGCAAAGTAATTACTTATCAATAGTCATTTTGAATGTAAATGGCCTCAACTTCCAGTTAAAAGGTATAGACTGACTGAATGATTTAAAACCCATCTGTTTGCTGCCTGCAAGAAACACATCCCACCAACAAAGATACATGTAGACTGTAAGTGAAAGGATTAGAAAAGATACTCCATGCTAATGGAATGCTAAAAGGGCAGTTGTTGCAATGCTAATATCAAAGGAAAAAGATGTCAAACAAAAACTATTAAAAGAGACAAAGAATGGCACTATATAATGATTAAGGGATCAATTCAACAGAAAGATGTGACTATAAATAAATGTAAATAATGGAATGAAGCTGGAAATCAACAACTCAGGAATCTCTAGATCATATACAAACACATGGAGACTGAACAACATGCTCCTGAATGGACAGTGGGTCATAGAAGAAATCAAAATAAAATTTCTTGAAATGAATGAAGATGACAATAAGTCATATCAAAACTTATGGGATGATACAAAATCTGTGTTAAGAGGGAAGTTTAGAGCAAATGGCACCTACTGAAAAAATTAGAAAGCTATTAAACAAATGAACTATCAGTGAATCTCAAAGATCTAGAAAAACAACACAAACTGCAAATTACTAGGAGGAAAGAAACAATTAAAAATTAGAGAATAAACAAAATTGAAACAAAAAAATCACAAAAGATCAGTTAAATTGACAGCTGATTTTTTGAACAAACAAAATTGATTCAATATTGGCACAACTTATCAACAGAAAAAAGGAGAGAACACCCAAATCAATAAAATCAGAGATGAAAAAACAAAATGTAACAACGGATACCACAGATATTAAGAGAATAATCAGGAATTACTACAAAGTTCTGTGTCAATAGATTGGGAAACATAGAAGAATTTGGTAGATTCTTGGACACAATCTACCAAAATTGAGTCATGAAGGCATTCCTTGTACTGAATCCCAATTCAGTCTCACCCTCTGCATTCATTCACCCACCTAACCCACCCATAACCCACCTAAGATACAAAAATGCTCAGGCCATGGAATCTTGACCCTCAGCCATATGTTCATTCTGTATTCACACTAGCAATTGATCAACCACTGTGAGTTACTTTTCTCTGAATAAATTCAGACTGGCTGTAAGTTTGTATCCAGCCTCCTCTCTGTTTCTTCTTGCTTTTTCTTATGGAAGGAGTGCTCCCAAACTCCTTCTATAAAGCCATCATAGCTATAATTACTGAACCAGAAAAAGATACAACAGAAAAAGAGAGCTGTAGACCGATATATCTATGAACACAGATGCAGATATCCTCAACAAAATACTAGCGAATTGAATCCAACAACACATCAGAAAGATCATTCACCTGGACCAAGTGGTATTTATCACCATATGCAGGGATGGTTCCACATTTGCAAATAAGTGTGATTCACCCCATTACAAACTGAGGAACAAAAACCATATGATTATTTCAATTGATTCAGAGAAAGCATTTGAAAAAAATACTGCAACCTTTCATGGCAAAAACATTAAACAAACTGGGTATAGAAGGAGCATTTCTCAACACAACCAAAGCAATCTACGATAAACCCATGGCCAACATCTTACTGAATGGTGGAAAGCTGGGAGCATTCCTATTAAGATCCAGAACAAGGAAGGATGCTCACTCTCACAATTGCTATTCAATAGTCCTGGAAGTTTTATCCAGAGCCACAAGGCAAGAAAAGGAAATAAAAGGGATGAAAATTGGAAAGGAGGAAGTAAATCTACCCCTATATGCAAATGAGTAGATTCTATAAATGGGATCCAAAAGACTACACTGAGAAACTTCTGGAACTCATAAAACAGTTTTGTAAAGTTGCAGGATATAAAATTAATGCATAAAAATTAGGAGAATTTGCATTCACAGACATTGGGAAGGCTAAGAATTTTTAAGATCATTCCATTCAAAATAGTTATAAAAAATTAAATATCTTGGAATAAATTTAACCAAGAATGTCAAAGATCTTTACAATGAAAATTACCAAACATAAAACAGAGAAATAACAGAAATAAAAATGAAAAAAATCACCCATGTCCAGGGATTGGAAGAATCAGTATCATCAAAATGCCCATAATACCAAGAGAAATTCATAGATTCAATGCGATACCAATCAAAATATCAACAACATTCTTCTCAGATCTATAAAAAATAATTCTGAGACCCCAAATACATAAATCAAACTTATATAACACAAGCAAAGTCAGAGGCATCATAATTCCTGATTTCAAGGCATATTACAGGGCAGTTATAATCAAAACAGCCTGGTACTGGCACAAAAACAGATGGATAGACAGATGAAAAAGAAAGATCCAGAACACAATCTACACATCTACAACCAATTTATCTTTTTTTTTTTTTTTTTGACAGGCAGAGTTAGACAGTGAGAGAGACAGCGAGAAAGGTCTTCCTTCCATTGGTTCACCCCCTACAAATGGCCTCTATGGCCAGCATGCTACGCTGATCTGAAGCCAGGAGCCAGCTGCTTCCTCCTGGTCTACCATGTGGGTGCAGGGCCCAAGCACTTGGGCCATCCTCCACTGCCTTCCTGGACCACAGCAGAGAGCTGGACTGGAAGAGGAGCAACCGGGACAGAATCCGGCACCCTGACCAGGACTAGAACCCGGGATGCCGGCACTGCAGGTGGAGGATTAGCCTAGTGAGCTGCGGCGCCGGCTTACAACCAATTTATCTTTGACAAAGGAGCTAAAATCAATCTCTAGAGCAAGGACAGTCTCTTCAACAAATGTTGATGGGATAACTGGATCTCCACATTCAGAAACATGAAACAGGATGCCTACCTTACACCTTACACAAAAATTGACTCAAAATGGATCAAAGATCTATTTCTACAACTCAATACCATCAAATTATTAGAAAACATTGGGAAAACCCTACAAGACATTGGCATAGGTAAAGACTTCTTGGAAAAGACCAGAGAAGCACAGTTAATCAAAGTCAAAATTGACAAATGGGATTACACAAAGCTGAAAAGCTTCTGAATTGCAAAAGAAACACTCAGGAAAGTGAAGAGTCAACCAACAGAATGGGAAAAATATTTGAAAATTACTCAAGTGACAAAGGATTAATATACAGAATGTACAAAGAACTCAAGAAATTCAAATACAACATAACAAACACTCCAGTTACGAAATGGGCAAAGGACTTGAACAGACATTTTTCAGAAGATACAATGGCCAACAGACAGTTGAAATAATGCTCAGGAACACTAGCCATTAGGGAAATAAAGATCAAAAGTATAATGAAATTTCATTTCATTGCATTGAGAATGGCTCACATACAGAAATCAACAAACAACAAATGCTGGCAAGAATGTGGGGAAAAGGTACCCTAATGGACTGTTTATGGGAATGCAAAGTGGTCCAGCCACTATGGAAGACAGTATGGATATATCTCAGAAATGTGAATATAAACCTAGCATATGATCCAGCCATTCCATTCCTGGGAATTTACTTGAATCAAAATAAATCAGCATCTAAAAGAGATATGTATCACTGATAACTGGTCACTGCTACACAATTGACAATAGCTAAAATACAAAATCAACCCAGATGTCCAATAGCTGCTGACTGGATGAAAAATATTCTTTTCAGCTGTAAGAAAAAAAAAGTCTCTCTTTTGCAACAAAATGGATACAACTGGCTAACACTACACTTAGTAAAATCAGCTACTCCCTAAAAGACAGATATCATATATTTTTGCTGATTTGTGGTTAACTAATAGGGTATCTACAATATAATATATTGAAGTGTCTCTTCTGTTGAGTAATACTATTTTAATTCTTCATACTATTTGTTGAACTTTTCATGTAGTGTGAGGTTAAACTTATCTGTATAAAGTAAATAAAAAAACTGTAAAAATAAAGAGCAGGAATAAGAGAGCTAGGAGGGAGAAGGACTGGAACTTTTTGGGACGAAGGGGGGGTATTAACATATATATTTATATATAAATAACGATATAAAACTTGAAAAACAAATGAAATTGTAGGTAATAAAATTTTTAAAAAGTGTTGACAATTTATGGGATACAATGAAATGATCCAAAATACAATTCCAGGTATGGAAAGAGAGAATGGTTTACTAGGCATCTTCGGTAAAATATTACAAAAACTTTCCTAAGTTTTAGGTATAAAGGGATGTCCAAATATAATAAATACATACAACTCCTAATAGCACTGACCATAAAGATCTGGTCATGAGATATTGCAGTCAATCTTTCAGCAGTAAAATGTAAAGAAAATTCCAAAATGTGCACGACAGAAATTTCAGATAAATTTCCAAGAATTTCCAAATAGATTCACAGGTGACTTCTCATTAGAATCTCTATGGTCTATGAGAGAATGGAGATACTGTGTGAGTCTTAGAAAAAAATCGGTCAAAGGAGAATACTATACCATGCAAAGTTTTCATTCATCAATGTGAAATAAAGACATGTCATAAAAAAAGAAACTGAATTTGTCACCACTCACCCAGCCTTACAAACGATGCTCATGTGTTATGAGTTGTAATTTACAGCAAAAAACTTTTCTGGAATCATTACATTCATGAGGTTATTCTCCTGTGTGAATTCTCTGATGGATTATGAGTTGTGATTTCTGAGCAAAGGTTTTCCTGCAGTCATTGCATTCATAAGGTTTCTCCCCTGTGTGAATTCTCTGATGTTTGATGAGGCCTGACTTTTGGCCAAAGGCTTTTCCACAGTAATTGCATTCATGAGGTTTCTCCCCTGTGTGAATTCTCTGATGGATTATGAGATACGACTTCTGGCCAAAGGTTTTACTGCAGTCATTGCATTTATAAGGTTTCTCCCCTGTGTGAATTCTCTGATGTTTAATGAGGCCTGACTTTTGGCCAAAGGCTTTTCCACAGTCATTACATTCATAAGGTTTCTCCCCTGTGTGAATTCTCTGATGGATTATGAGATATGACTTCTGGCCAAAGGCTTTTCCACAGTCATTACATTTATAAGGTTTCTCCCCTGTGTGAATTCTCTGATGGATTATGAGTTGTGAGTTATAGATGAAGGCCTTCCCACAGCCATTGCACTCATAAGGTTTCTCTCTTGTGTGAATTCTCTGATGCATTACAAGATGTGACTTCTTGCCAAAGGCTTTTCCACAATCATTACATTCATAAGCTTTCTCCCCTGTGTGAATTCTCTGATGGATTATGAGATGCGACTTCTGGCCAAAGGCTTTTCCACAGTCATTACATTCATAAGGTTTCTCCCCTGTGTGGATTCTCTGATGGATTATGAGTTGTGACTTATAGCTGAAGGCTTTTCCACAGTCATTACATTCATAAGGTTTCTCCCCTGTGTGAATTCTCTGATGCATTATGAGATATGATTTCTGGCCAAAGGCTTTTCCACAGCCATTGCACTCATAAGGTTTCTCCCCTGTGTGAATTCTCTGATGGGCTATGAGTTGTGATTTATAGTTGAAGGCTTTTCCACAGTCATTACATTCGTAAGGTTTCTCCCCTGTGTGTATTCTCTGATGCGTTACAAGTTGTGACTTCTTGCCAAAGGCTTTTCCACATTCATCACATTCATAAGCTTTCTTCTCTGTGTGAATTCGCTGATGGATTAGGAGTTGTGACTTATAGCCATAGGCTTTTCCACAGTTATTACATTCATAAGGTTTCTCCCCTGTGTGAATTCTCTGATGGATTATGAGTTGTGAGTTATAGCTGAAGGCTTTTCCACAGTCATTACATTCATAAGGTTTCTCTCTATGAATTCTCTGATGCACTCTATGTGACTTCTGTCCAAAGGCTTTTCCACAGTCATTACATTCATGAGGTTTCTCACTTACATGAATTCCCTCATGTTTGATGAGCTGTGAGTTGCACAGAAAGACATCTCCACAGCCATTGCATTCATAAGATTTCTCTCCTGTGTGAATTCTCTGATGCATTACAAGATGTGACTTTTGGCCAAAGGCTTTTCCACAATCTTTACATTCATGAGGTTTGTCTTCTATGTGATTTCTCTGATGTGTTATGAGGTATGATTTCTGGAAAATGGCTTTTCTGCACTCATTGCATTCATGAGGTTTCTTCTTTGTGTCAATTTTCTGATGCCTAAAGAGATCTAACTTTTGGTATGTGGTTTCTCCACATTCATTACACACATGGGAGTTTTCCTTTATGCGAGTACTGTGAATGATGGTATGGCAGGACTTACAATTGAATGATTTTCCACAAGGCTTACATGTGTAGGGCTTTTTCCATATATATTGTCTCTGATTTATTGCAAGATCGGATCTGTAAATGAGAGGTTCCGCATATCCCATATCTTCATATAGTTTCTCTCCTGTGTTGATTTGTTGATGCTTACTGAGATTAGTATCTTTATGAAGAGTTTTCTCTATTTCACTTGTCTTTCCAACAGTGACAGTTGACTTATTACAGATGTCTCCCATATGGACCGTGCCAAATCTAAAGAATATCTTCTTTGTTTTGAAGTCATTCCCTTGTCCACTACGTTCAAATGAATGCTTCATAGTCTGAATCTTGTGATACTCATTAACAGGCTCATAGCACTGGACAGAGTTCACAGGTACCTTAGAGGCATCAAGTTTCTCTCCAGCTTGCAGCTGATCAGGGCCACCATGGGGATACACATTGTGACACACATTGTGCTCCTCAGGTTTCATTGCTGAATAATTTCCCTTTCTGATAATCAGTTTTGAAACATGGCTTGAACTTAAATTAAGTCTTTTTCTTAATTCAACTATCTTGGGAGTTGATGTCTTGATATTTGTCATAACATCCTGATTCAAATTTTTTTCTTGAATTTCCTGGTTGGTCCTAATTATGTCATCACTTTTCATGGCAACTGAAATGAGAAAAAAAAAAATTACTGAATCACATATAAGTGCTTTCTCCTGGAATACTGATGTAAAGGTAATGAAGCTGCTTGTTATCTAAGTGGCATGAGATTTTAACATAATTAGTAAAAGACATTTATGCCCATTATGGTGTTTTTTTTTTTTTCCTTTAAGACATTGATATATTAGGTTGTACCAATAGATTCCCCAATGTTCAATCATGATCTTGTCTACTACTTGAATTTTATTCAAGTATGGCAGAAGGGCTTTCCCGGTTAGATATGTTAATTCACTGATTCAAGTGCCTGCATCCCAAAATAGTGTCAGTTTGAGCCCTAGCTACTCTGATTCCAACAAAGCTCTACCTTATGTAAACTAAAAGGCAGCAAATAATGGTTCATGTGCTTGGGATCCTGTGATACATCAGAGAAGACTAGATGAAATCCCATCCTTTTGTCTTCAGACTAGTTAGACATAACTGTTGCAGGCATTGGGGGAGTGAGCTAATAAACTATCTCTTTCTCCTCTTATTGTCACTCTGCCTTTAACAATGATGAGAAAATTATAATATTTTAAAGAATGGAAAAATATTTAGTAAATAAATTCCCCCATTGCCTAGCAACCATTTTTTACTCTGTCCTTTTTCCTCAGTTAATTTTTACTAAAAATTTTATGTTTTGTGCTTCTCTGATATTTCAACCATAAATATGGGAGTATTTTAATGGATCATTTACTTGCAGATGAAGAAGAATGAAATGTGTCTTTACTCTAAACAGGATCACATTTAAAGAACAAGATTTGAATCTATGGTCATCTCATGTTCAGTCTTCCTAGGAAAATAGCATTTGTGGGATTTTGCAGATGAAAAACTCTGCTTTTATCTGCACTCTATGACAGCTTCCCCATACTCCGAAGGAAATCTAACATCTTCAGCTTCTCAGAACTACAACTGGTACAGAAACATCACAATATACCACCTTGGATATACACTCCCTAACAGTTTAAAGAATTTGTTTCTGCAACCCAGAGTGTGTTTACTTTCTTTGAAAAGTGTTTTCTAGCTCATTCTGAAATCACCAGCCCTGGTTATCTCCCCTCAGCTTTTTCTATAAATATTCATATGTGATAATTTGAGTTTCTGGAAAATTTTGATAAGCTATCTCTTATTTTCGAAGAAATCTTCATTTCCTATGCCTTTCTTATCTTTTTTGTTTGAGAGAATTCATACTTCGAACTCTACTCCTAAACAAATCTGAGACATTCAACATGAAACCATGAGGTTACTTGACCTTGGGATTCAGAATCTCAAGACTTTCTTGGTTAGTTTAGGATCACTTATTTTCATGTTTCTATACAAGTTCATGCTTAGCTTCAGGATTTCTGATGTCACTGCACAGAGGCTTACTTCTGACCCTCTCTTAGCATTCACTTATTTATTTACAAACTTGAGAATCAGCGAGATAGAGAATAAGACACAAAGAGAGAATGAAACAGAGGGTTGCCAGCCACAGGCTCTCTCCTCAAATGCTTCTAACAACCTATTTTTTTCTTATTTTATTTGAAAGGAACAGAGAAAGAGAAAAGAGAGAGAGTTTACATTTATTGGTTCAGTTGTGAGATGCTTAAAATAGCAAGTTCTGTGCCTGGCCAAAACCATGAGTGGGGGCTCAACATGAAACAAGTTTCTATAACTCACCCAACTAACAAGAACTGAAGAAAAAAATAAATGCATGAAGGAAAAGGCATTAAATATAGAGAAGGACAAGTTAGAATTTGGGAATGTATCTAGCCTCAAAAAAAGCCTTTGTAACATCAGAAAAAGAATTGGATTTTTTTTTTTTAAATCAAAGAACATCTTCATCAAGAACAAAAGAGTTAGAGATATAATGGCATCCCTAGATACTCTAGAATCCCCTTCTGATGCACAAAACCAGCTGTCCTCAGGAGTAACACTGGGAAAAATTCATGGAAAGAGCATAAATCAACATCTGCTGTACTCTTTCTTGCTTGCCCCTCCTCATCAATATGTGTGTACTGACCTGGAAGTCTCTGATTTAGGCATTCATTCACCATCCATGGCTCTGCTCCTTGTTCCAACTTAAAGATCAAATCAGGTTTGGTAATGCAGTGCCCTATTAATAGAAACAATGTAAGATTTTGTGAAATCACGATCTTGGGTTATTTAAAGGACTACAGCTTATTCCAGGAGCTATGCAACAAAAGTTCCAATTTGAATCCTTTCCTAGATGATAGGTATTCAGATTATTCATGGACTCAAATTCTATAGCTGTCCAACATTCAACTTTATAAAGTGTTCGCTTCTTTTTCTTTCTTTTTTTTTAAGATTTATTTATTTATTTGCAAGTCAGAGTTACATAGAGACAAGAGAGGAAGGAGGGGTGGTCTTCCAGCCCCTGGTTCACTCCCCAATCAGCTGTAATGGCTGGAGCTGCACCAATCTTAAGCCAGGAGCCAGGAGCTTCTCTTCCAGGTCTCCCATGTGGGTGCAGGGGCCCAAGGACTTGGCCACCTTGTAATGCTTTCCCAGGCCACTGCAGAGAGCTGGACTGGAAATGGAGCAGCAAGGTCACAAACCAGTGCCCATATGGGATGCCAGCTCTTCAGGCCAGGACGTTAACCCACTGCACCATAGTGCTGGCCCCGCTTATTTTTCAAATAGCAAGAAAATGTTATCATTGGGCATGTGGTGGGTGACACTCACCCAAGAAAAGCAGGCTGCTGTAGGTCTCCAGCATCACATCCCTGTACAGGATTTTCTGAGCTTTGTTCATGTTCTGCCATTCCTCCCAGGTAAAGTAAACAGCCAGGTCTTCAAATGCTATCATCACCTGTAATAGAACACTTCTGGTCTATATATCAACTCTGTCACAAAACAAACACTGAGAATTTTTATCTTACACATAGGTATGAATGAAGAAGGAAGTATGTGCTTTAATTTTCAACTTGTTGAGCATTTGGACAGCCACATAGATTCATTCAGCAGGGAGTCAAACCTATGGTTTAAAGGCTGTGAAAAATGCCCTAACCAGAAGAAAATAGGAGTTTCAGGTCACAGAGGGCCACATCTGTCAAGGGGAATTGCACAGCAGGCTGAAAAAAGGACAATATTGACTCTTGAATGAGCTATGTTAAGGTGAAGAATGTACAATATTCAGGTGAGAAGACAAGAAACCATCAGTGGAGCTATTTGGGAATGAACAGAGAAGAATTTCAAGAAAAACACCGTACAAAGTCACTTCAAATATGGCAGAGAAAAATATTTTAAAAAAGAGGGCAGGGTCGTCCTCCCTCAGCTGCCATTGCTCGCAGCTCAGAAATGGCGGGATTTGGTGCTATGGAAAAATTTTTGGTAGAATACAAGAGCGCAGTGGAGAAGAAACTGGCAGAGTACAAATATAATACCAATACAGCCATTGAACTAAAATTAGTTTGTTTTCCTGAAGATCTTGAGAATGACATTAGAACTTTCTTTCCTGAATATACCCATCAGCTTTTTGGGGATGATGAAAATGCTTTTGGTTACAAGGGACTGAAGATCTTATTATACTATATTGCTGGTAGCCTGTCAACAATGTTCGGTGTTGAATATGCATCTAAAGTAGAAGAGAACTTTGACTGTGTGGAGGCAGATGATGTTGAGGGCAGAATTAGACAAATCATTCCACCTGGATTTAGCACAAACACGAATGATTTTCTTTCTTTGCTGGAAAAAGAAGTTGATTTCAAGCCATTTGGAACCTTACTCCATACATACTCAGTTCTCAGTCCCACAGGAGGAGAAAACTTCACATTTCAGATATATAAGACTGACATGACATGTACAGGCTTTCAAGAATATCATGAAAGGCTTCAGACCTTTTTGATGTGGTTTATTGAAACTGCTAGCTTTATTGACGTGGATGATGAAAGATAGCACTACTTTCTAGTATTTGAGAAGTATAATAAGGATGGAGCTACACTCTTTGCGACCATAGGCTACATGACAGTCTGTAATTACTATGTGTACCCAGACAAAACCTGGTCACATGTAAGTCAGATGCTGATATTGACTCCATTTCAAGGTCAAGGCCACGGTGCTCAACTTCTTGAAACAGTTCATAGATACTACATTGCGTCTCCTTCAGTTCTTGATATTACAGCAGAAGATCCATCCAAAAGCTATGTGAAATTAGGAGATTTTGTGCTTGTGAAACTTTGCCAAGATTTGCCCTATTTTTCCTGAGAAAAGTTAATGCAAGGATTCAATGAAGAAATGGCAATAGAGGCACAACAAAAATTCAAAATAAATAAGCAACATGCTAGACGGGTTTATGAAATTCTTCGACTCCTTGTAACTGACATGAGTAACGCTGAACAATATAGAAGATATAGATTGGATATTAAAAGAAGACTAGCCCATATAAGAAAAAGAGAAAGATTTTGCTAAGATGAGAAAATGTCTCAGACCAGAAGAACTGACAAACCAGATGAACCAAATAGAAATAAGCATGCAACATGAACAGCTGGAAGAAAGCTTTCAGGAACTAGTGGAGATTACCAGTGTGTTACTGAGTGACTTGCTCAAGAGTAAAGATTATACTACTATGTACAGGAAGCTTGCAAATTTCTATACATTGTGCTGTGAAAAATCTGATGATAACTTTAATTTTAAAATCTAGTAACACTTTACTTGCATTAAAAGTTGTCTATTTTAAGTTGAATATTTTCTTTTGGAGAGATTGTATATTTCAAAATACTGTCTAGAGTTTATGAGCATATATTACATTTAAGAAAAAAGATATAGCTTCTGAAATATCACTGCAGTTGCTTACCTTCTTTCACAGTATAATAAATGCTTAGTTGTGATATGTTAATGTGTGTTAAGATTCTTAAATACTTAGGATAAACTTTGTCAGTCTTGCTCAAAATCTTAGATTTTATGCTTTTAATATCATGCCTCCCATGATTTGTTTCTGAGATTTTTATATGAAACCTTTACAATACATTAAGAAAACTCATCCTAGTAATTTGTTTTTCCTATATTTTTCTAAATAGGAAATGTTTCTGGTATAGGTTTGTTTTGTGTTAAATAAACTCCTGTAATGGCTTGTTGGGGGTAAGTAGGTAAGAGAGAAAAAGGAAACTACCTACAGCCTAAAACCTAAGGGTTTCATATCATATATTAACTGAAGATAATTTAGAAGTTAGCATAAACATTTTATTAATAATAATATGAGAGAAAAAAAATAATAATATGAGAGGATAGCTGTGGGGAGCAACTGAGACTAAATTACTGGAACTAGGACTAATTCTATGCATCTGCTCTCCCACAATATGGCGCTGGGGAGGAGTAAACTTCTACGCAGCTGCCTCTCGCCAATTTGACTGATAAGCTGCAGGAGCTGATCCTGCTCCTGATTGGAGGAGAGCAGCGTGCTCGGCGTGTGGGTAGCAGAGTTGGGATTGGTCGAAGAGGACTATAAAGGAGGAGAGAAACAACATGCACCAGGAACATCTGAAGGAACACCTGAGCAGCCCCTGAGAGAGCCGGCCGGCGGTGTGCCGCTCCTCCACAGAAGCGGGGAAAGTGGCAGCGGGAGCCGCCCCTCCACAGAGGTGGAGGGGTCAGCAGCCAACCCGGGAAGGACCAGCAGCAAACCCGGGAAGGGCCGAGCAGACAAAAGAACAGCGCAGGGTCCTGTGTCGTTCCTCCGCAAATGGGGGAGCAACAGATAGCAGTTTGTAAAAATCTAGTTTACCACACTTTTATTGAAATATATCCTGTATAAAATGAGATGCATGTTAGGATTTGCCATAGTTACCAAGATACTGAGTACAACAGGAAATAAAATAATAATAAATTATAAGTTGCTTGATACAGAATCGTTAAAAGTAAAAGCTTAAAAAGTGTGTATAATGTGTGCCAATGTTATATAACAGCAAAAACAGGATTAAGTTGAGTTTTATTTTTAAAAATCTGGTTGGTTTGATGATGAGGGCAAAATTTCAACTTGGACAAGCACTCTCTTGTCCTTAGATCAAACTTTCCATTAGTCAGACCTGCCAAAATAGAAGAATTAAAGTAACTGGCAGCCTCTGGACAAAATAGCCATGGCCTGCAGCATGATAATGACACAAGCCATTCCCTTAGAATGGGGAAACTTAAAACTCCAGACTACCTCATTTCAAAATTCTATATATAGAAAAAACTTGTTGGTATCTGAGAGATTCTGTATATAAATGCACATAATTTTCCAGATTGAAAAACTAGTTCAGTAAAAACACTTTCTGCAACTGAATGAAAGCAATTTGCTCTCCATCTGACTTAGCTAGTAAATTTTGAATTAATAATTCACAACTGATACTTTGTGGATGAGCTCTGAGGGGCTAGTGTTGTGGCATAGCAGGTTAAGCCATTACCTGTGATGCAGGCATCCCATATGGGTGTCAGTTAGAGTCCCGACTGCTCCACTTCCAATCTAGCTCCATGCTAATGTGCCTGGAAAAGCAATGGAGGATGGCCTTGCTGCTTAGGCCTCTGTAACCATGTGACTTCAACCTGGTCCAGCCACAGCTGTTCTGGCCATTTGGAAGTGATCCAGAGATGTAAGATCTTTCTCTGTCTCCCCCTCTCTCTAACTCTGCCTTTCAAGTAAATAATATAATAGCTCTGAAGAAAAAAGTCAATACAACTTTTACAAATATCTTTAAAGAATTTTTTTGTGTAGAAATACTTATCAGTGGGATAACAATTTCCCTTTTGTAGCAATGTTCCTATGTTAGGTTCATAAATAAAGATCTGATTTAGCATTAAAAAAAAAAAAAGAGGGCAGGCATTTATCTTGATATTTATGATGCCAGCCAAGATACCTTACTTCTACTTCAAGTGCCTAGGTTCAATTTCCAGTGCCAGTTCCAGTTCCATTCTCTAGCTCCCAGCTAATGCTGAAGAATCAGTAGTGATGGAACCAAATGAAACCATTTCCTGTATCCATCCCTTCACAAGACTCTGGATTTCATTTTTCATTTGCTTAACCCCCTGGAATATCAGTAAATGCAATAGAAACAGATAGTTTGTAAAGTATTTACCTTCTCAGATTTTTCTTATCTTCTGGAAAGCCCTGGGGCCTGCCCATTGAAGAGATAGGATCTTACCAAGACTCATCACAAACCACCAGACATTTAAATGAAGCCATCTCTAAGGCATGACTGTCAATCAGTTCCTCAGATGACTAAACCCTGATTTCTGATCCCAGGCTATCATAAGAACTGCCCAACTGAGCCCATCCCAAAATATTGAATTAGAATTATAAATCAAATGGCTATTTGTTAAGCCATTGTATTTTCTCATTTCTCCTACAAAAATGCTGATACACCCTGGTGTAAGAGAAGAAAGTTCCATTACATACAAAATAAAATCAATAGAACTTCACAATCTCTCATGTAAAAGTTTCCATAAACATGGGACCTGCACTGGCACACAGCAAGTAAATAAAGTTGCCACCTGCAATGAAAGAAACCCCATATGATTTGTATTCTGGGTGCTCTGCTTTTGTTCCAGTTCTTTTCTAGTGGCCTGAGAAAAACAGTGGAAGAAGGCCCAAGTACCTGGGTAAATGCTACTAATATAGAAGACCCAGATGTGGACTCAGCCTATCTGAGCCCTGCCCATTGCAGCAGTCTGGGGGAGTGACTCAGCAGATGAAAGATCTGTGTGTCTTCCTCTCTCCATATATAACACTTGCAAATAATTTTTAAAAATCTTAGAAAAAAGCCCCTATAAACATTATCTATGCCTATCAATTGGATCTTAGCAAAGCTTCTGATACTAAAAAAATTAGTCCTAGGAATCACACAAATAAATTCATTGGAGATCATAAGGTTATGCTTCACATTTCTGCTTATATGTGATCATACTCTTTGTTTATATTTTAAGAAACTTATTAGCACATGAAATCTGATTTAGTGTAATTTTACTATTCAGAAAATAGGAAAAAGCTCACTGTATGTATACTAAATATTGTTCAAGAGATTCAAGAAATACTGACAGTGAGTGGGAACATTTTATGATATGTTTTTTGAAATCACACAATATATAAATAACATCAGGAACAAAAGGAAAGCCATGCTCAGGGCAATCTTCTAAAGCAATACTTATTTGAAACTGCCGACAGTTTCTGAAATTAATCTGAAAAATAAATGTGTTTCTAATTAAGTGTGGCAAAACAGAAATCACCATTCAAAAGTTAGGATGCCATGCATCTACAAATCATGTGACACTACTCAAACCACTTATCTCCCAAAATACAATTTATTTCATTTATTTTACATGCAGAGACCCTAACAGACATTCCTTGAGCTACCAAAAAGAATTACTAGGGTACAGGGGGCAGCAGCATAGCTCTAGATACCAAGTGTATGGCAGACTAGGTTTCACAGCCCTCCATTTCTGGAAATCATAAGAGTGGAATGAAGTAATAGACATGTGGTAGTAGGAAGCAATGTAGATAGTGACTCTCAGACATGAGAGGTTATCCCTCCACCCCAGGCCACACCCTCAAGACCACTTAAATAAGTAACATTTGCAAGGCCCTTACCTTTCTAAACCATTCACAACTTTTTTTTTGAAGCCTGGTCCAGAACTTCCAATATCACCTGGTCTTTCATAACTTATGGATGAGGTAAGTTAATATCAACTAAATGTTGTTCATTCTGGTCAGTATGATCAATAACTGCTTGGACCATGCAAATCTAGGATCTTTGCATTTCAGTGACTTTTTTCTCTGCTCTGAGTAGTAAGGTACTGTCTCAGAGCATCACGTAGAATTCTGTCAGAAATTATTCTGAGTCCTAGAGCTCCCTTCTTCAAGTATCATAAAACCTACTCACTTCTAAAGGAAATGGGACTAACACCCGGTACTCAAATTTCCATGTTCTTGGAAACTAGGTGTTGTATATACTTCTATAACCTCAAATGAGTAGTGCTGGTCAGTCTATACAGTGCAGGAAATCAGAAAGTTCATTTGGAGAAGATATACCATGAATCCCCACAAATGCAACTGTCACACAGTGTAAGTCAGCCTGCACATATCTCACAATGATTTCTCAGGAAATGTGGGGACATTTCACTACTACTACTAATATACTCATCTTACAGATGGGTAAAGAGTGACAAAGGTGCAACCTACATTCACCCCATATACATTTAAGCCGAAATGGTCTAAAAACCCATCTCCATCCTATGGCCATCTTGGATGAGACAGACTGTCTACAGGACTTTTGGAACTACCTTCTGTATACCTGGAGTCACACTGGTCTTCTGTCAGTGCATCGTTGGACAAAAAAATCCTTGAAAGCCCAACCTTATTCACTGTTTCTTCAGCTCTAGAACTGAGGATCTACCACTGCCATCTCTTCCTGGAGCAGCCAAGATCTTTAGGGTGCATCTGAATGACAGATTCCAACACCTCAGATCCATGACTGTCACTTATGCCAGCAAAAGACAGGCACCTGTACTGCTCTTCAAGATTTCTTCTACCCCAACACTAGCATTCACAGAAATAGAAATGACTCACACAGTTCTTGAGTAAAATGAGGAAAGCCACAGCCCCAGGAATGTATAAAGATGGTGGTAGTGTTTGGAATGGCACATGCTGAGAAGGTAGCCAGAGGAAACTTTCCATGGTTCTGTCCTCCGAACATCATCGCATATGAGGATATGTTTCCCATAAAACAATGCATACCTCCATTAGGAAGCAATGAGGATGATCCATATATTTACTGGATAATCAGCCTCCTGGGACACAGAGGGTGTACATCAGAACTTGTCTAACCACATAAGATACCCACATAATACTCCAATTCCTCATTAATTCTTGGTTTGACAGATTTACATTTGAAGGAAACATGCTATAATTGGATACATTCAAATTTGGAAATAATTTTTGGAAATTGTCATGAAATTTATTATTTTTTAATTCTCATAATTAAATTATGGTTCCAGATCCTTTTTTACAGATATTTAGGAAAAAAAAAACCTCAAAGGACTCTTTTTAACATAATACATTCACAGAAGAAACTAATATTCTTGAAAAACTCATTTTTAATCCTTTAAAATGATGCTTGATATAACCTACTAAAATAATTGTGGGCCATCAATGGATCGCATTTCACAGTGAGGAAAATTATTCAGATACATTAAGTAGATTAATACGGATGGAAAAGTGAGTGCCTTCTGAAATGTTTGTTAAAATTTAAAATTGCACTACCTGGTAATTCTACACCCAAAAGTTACTGAAATTCATCTATTCATCACTCCATCCAGCTATCTGTATATATTTAACAAAACTTTAATTTTTTTGAGAACTGCATTTAATTTGTGGTTTCTCCCACAAACTAGACAAAGAGACAAATAGGAAGATGTCATGGAGCTCCTGCTTTTACCCCTTTTCCTGTATAAATGAGAATGGGCATGAAATTATGATCAACTTCTTGAGCATTTGAGTGGTAGTATCATAGGCCATTGACTCTTGGCCCACAGCTATTGGTCATTTTTCTATGTATAATGTATCAATTGTGCTGTTCAAATTCCTGTATCATCTCTAATCTGGCAATTGCCTTTCAGTGACTTTATTCTGCAAATTGAGGGAGATCAGTCTTTTTTATTAATAATTACAGAATTTTTTAAAGATTTATTTATTTACTTAAGAGGCAGAGTTACAGAAATAGACAGGCAGAGACAGAGAGGGGTCTTCCAACCACTGCTTCACTCCCCAAATGGCCACAATGGCAGAAGCTTGGCTGATCTGATGCCAGGAACCAGGAGTTTCCTCCAGGTCTCCCACACTAGTGAACAGGCTCAAGCACTTGGACCATTTTCTACTGCTTTCCCAGGCCATACTAGAGAGCTAGACCAGAAGAGGAGCAGCCAGGACATGAACTGATGTCCTTATGGGATACTGGCACTGCAGGCAGATGCTTAATCTATTATTTCACAGTGCCACTGCCAGGACCTCAGTCTTGAGCTCCCATCTTAAGTAATTTCATCTCAGACCTAGAAGAAATTATTTCTTAGTTCCCAGCTTCATACAATTTAAACAGAAAATCAAGTTGCAAGCATAAAGGAACTACAGTGGTATAGTGGATTCCCTTGTCCTTCCCAAGAATTATTGCTCCCTATAGTGGTAGCCACATACCTCTGCCAGCAGGAGTTGCTCATTTTGGAATTGGAGATGAAGATTCTGTGGGGATTCCTGAGAAGAGAGAAAGTGGGAAGGCTACTCTAGGTTGTTGTTGATTGGTCTTTTACAACTCACTTTCTCTCCCTGGGTCTTAGTTATACCTTCTGAGTAATGACTGGCATTTATAATTTCAAGCACTGAGTCAGAGAGAAGAGCTCTAATACTTGATTAGTACTTATTGAAGAATGAAAAATATATCCCTGTGATATAAAGAGAGTGGTGACCACAGAGAAGCTAATTCAGGATCCTTCAAGGCCTAAAATTTTAGGCCAATCTTGAGCTACTCACCACTAATGAAAATACACAGTAATGCATCAACCAGCATTGTCTGATCATGTTTTGTTTTCTAATAATTTTATTCATTAACATATTTTGTAAAAACAGAGATAACATTGAATGGCACCTTTCCCCACATGCACAAAAGGTCTGTTCCCTGAATTAACCATATTAGGTCAGTAGACATACTCACACATTTCCTTACAAATTAATAGCCATATTCACAAATAAGTATAGAACATATTATGCAGAAGTCACATTGTATGTGGAAATTAATTTTAATATTGCATACTGTGTAAATTGAGTCTTAAGATTCCTTTTGTTAGTATTTCAATACTATCTGATTAACTTGCATGTAGACAGATCTGTAAGGTGTGAATATTTTTTATTTTCCTCATAGTGATTTATTTAAAAAATATGAATAGTGGATATCATATATATCATAATGGAGCTCAGATTTTATTATCATTTTTCTACTCATCAGTTTTAGTTTCAAATATTCTATCTTCTGGACAGCTCTATAGATTTTACATGTACACTACTATCAGTAACCTATATTCTAGTTTGTGTAGATGTACACAGATAATTTGTTAGGTACATGCATGCACCCAGGTTAGTCAGATAGTATTAAAATAGTAACAAAAGGAATCCCAAGACTCACTTCACACAGTAAGTCCTAGTTAGAGTTGGCTGCCCATGAGGCAAACATCTAGGTGCTTTCCATTGTGATGCACTGAATTGTGTCTCTCCAAAGTTCCTATCTTCAGTCTCTAACATGCAGTGTGACTCTATCTGGAGATGGTGCCTTTAATGGCACAATTAAAGTAAAAAAAAAAATCAAATGTATGAGACCCTAACCCAGACTGGTGACCTTATAAGAAGAGAAACAAGAGATGGACATGAATAAAGGAAATATGAGATGACACAGAAAGATGATGTCTAACTGGAAACCAGAAGAGTTGTTAGGAGAAAGCAAACTTGCTGACACTTTGATCTTGGACTTCCAACTTACAGAACTATGTGAAAATAAATGTCTTTGTTTAAACAATCCAATGTTCAGTAATTTGTTATCGTGACCTTGGTAAACTAAAGAATGTCCACCTCTGCCTGCATTATCTGCTGCCACATACATGATCCACACAGGTTTTCAGAGAAATATAAAAATTACAAATTGATGGGGCTAGCATTGTGGTGCAGCCAGTTAAGCCATTGCCTATGGGAGTGGCATCCCATATAGGTTTGAGTCCTGACTGCTCCATTTCTGATCCCTGCTGGTGAACCTGGGGAAGCAGTGGAGTGTAGCTTGAGGCCCTGAATCTATGAGGGAGATCCAAATGAAAGTCCTGATTCCTGGCATTCATAGCCCTCTGGGAAGTAAACCAAGAGATGAAAGACATTTTTGTCTATCTGCCTCTCCCTCTCTCTGTGTAACTCTGCCTTTCAAAAAATAAATCTTAAAAAAAAGTAAACTATGGTTTACTTTTTATCTAAAGACCTAAACCAAAGAAAGATAAAAAAAGGCAAAGGATTAAAGGAAAGATAAAAACAAAAATCTAGATGAGACTAGCACTGTAGCACAGTGGATTAAACTGCTGTCTACAATGCTGGTATATCATACTTGTGCCAGTTTGTGTTCCAGTCACTCTACTTCTGATCCAGCTACCTGCTATCGGACCTGGGAAAGCAGCAAAAGATGGCCCAAGTGTATGGGCCTCTGCCACCCACATGGGAGACCCAGATGAACCTCCTGGCTTCAGCCTGGCCCACTCCTAGCCATAGCAATCATTTTGGCCAACGAACCAATGAATGGAAGATCTCTGTGTAACTATGCCTGTCAAATTAATAAATATTTTTAAAGATTTATTGATAAACATTAACTTTCACAGGTTTTATATGCACTTATTCCTTAAGTTTCATAGGTGCCAAGTGTAGTAAGGTAGTCCTATCCAGGGATCCCCCTAAATTTAAGCAGGATACTCATTAGATTTTTTTTAAAAAGTTTCAAAACATGTATCAGAAGAAAAATAAATAATTTACTTGATGCATTTCACTTTAACTATAGTATTACCTAAATTTTCAATAGTCAGTTGTACAAAAAAAAATCCCAGAGGTGGCAGAGATGGTCTAACATTTTGAGTAAAGTTTTCAAGTTACTTGGCTAGAGAAAATAAGAATTCATATGATATGCCAAACTAAAATAATTAAGATTGCCCTATAAAAAACTAAAGGTCTTCATGCATTAAAACTTATTACCTTAGATTTAATTATCAAAAAGGTGATTATTTCAACTATTTCCTATTGGCAGCTCAATTTTATCTATTAAATCTGAAAAAATAAATAGTATCTCATGTTAGATTACTAAAATCTTAATGTTATATCCCACCCATTATGTCCAGTGCACCTTATATCTAATATTAACATAGCTGATGCCTCTCAGTAGATAAATGATGTGTCTCAACTATTACAAGTGTGGAAACTATTTTGTTCAAAGCTTTTCTAAAAGCCCCCCAGTCTCTGTTTGCCTTCACTTTGGAAGGATTCTTCTAGGATATGCATGGGCACCTCACTGATTTTGCCAGCAAACACAACTTTTCCAATGGAAATACAAGCATGCATCACATTGATGACATCTTCCCTGTATGATACTATTTGACACATTGTGAAGAACATACAAAGCTAATATCTTATAGTCCTTCTTGGCTTTTTTGGAATGCATGCCTCATTTAAAAAGTTATCACTGATACTACAAATCAGTCTAGGTTATATGGGTCCCCCTCCAATGAAAGGTGCAAAAATCAGTCAAAATAAATACTATATGCACTGTCCTTAGTGCTCTCAGTGACTTCTTCACTATAAGGGCTCACATGCCTTCTAAATTCTCTGGGTCATCTGTGACGTTCATTAGTTCTTAAGGGCTGTGATGCAATCAATTACCTCTCTTGGAACCTTGTTCCAGTAAAATTAAATTAGATGACTGTTAACTGTGCTATACTCAAAATATAGACTCCTACACAACTTGAGCATGTGATTGTCCAAGCCATGTTGTCTACTAGGACTTTGGCCATGGAGATAGAACAATAAAACCTGAGCATGGCTACTGAGGCCTCCCTATCATAGGATGGATCCAAACTTGGTATACTCCACTTGGCAGAGGGGAAGGCGTCCAATGTCTACTGTTTATGTCCAGATGTCAGGTTACTGCAGGAAATCAACTCTAACAAACAAGAATTGCTGTTTAAGTTCAGCTAGACACCATTCTGCTGACTATTGATCCCACTACTATTGTTCTGGATGCTTTTCATTGGTTGCAATTCAGAGATCCAAAGTTGCCCTAGCCATTATCACAGGCAAACATGAAATTCTGCTAACAAAAGCATAAACCAAGAGTTGTGGCTTAATATATATTTTAACACAATTCCTCAGAACCCATCTAGTCCAAACCTTGGAGAGTTGAAAGCTGTTATACTTAGCCTTTCCATAAATGAGACTTTGTACCAGGTGGGTTTTATATCCTTGAACTGCAAGGAGAGTATCACAGTCATTAATGCTCCAAACTGATCCAGCTCCCTACCAATGTGTCTGAGAAAGCAACATAAGATGTTTCAAATACTTGGTCCCCTGCACCCATGTGAGAGACCTGGAAGAAGCTCCAGGCTTCTGACATCAGTCTAATCTAGCCACAATCATTATAGCCATTTGAGGAGTGAACAAATCAGAAAGAAGATCAGTCTCTCCCTCTCTCACTCTATGACATTTTCAAATATATAAATAAATCTTTTAAAAACTTGATCACTTCAATAGATTTCCCAGTGTTCAATCATGATGACTTTTACTACTTTAGGTATTCTTTTCATTCTTTTTTAAAGATTTGCTTATTCGAAAGGCAGAGAGGGGAGCTGGCTGTGGTACAATGGGCAAAACTGCCACCTGTTAAGCTGGTATCCTGCATAGGTGCCAGTTCAAGTCCCAGTTATTCCACTTTTGATCTAACTCCTTGCCAGTGGCCTGAGAAAAGCAATGGAAGATGCCCCAAGTGCTGGGGCTCCTGCCACACACGGGAGACCCAGAAGAATCTCCTGGCTTCAACCTGGCCAAATTTTGGCCATTGAAGCCATCTCAGGAGTGAATCAGTTGATGGAAGATCTCTGTCTCTGCTTCTCTCTATAACTGTTGACTTTCAAATAAATAAGTAACTATTCTTAAAAATGATTTTAAAGAGGTAGAGAGAGACACACACACAGAAAGAGAGAGGGAGAGAGAGGCGGAGAGATCTTCCAACTGCTGGTTCATTCTCTAAATGTCTACAAGAGCTGTGGCTCGACCAGACTCTCAAGTCCTCCACTCAGATGACAGATCAAACAACTAGGTGACAGGAACTAAAGAATTTGATACATCATCCACTGTTTCTCAGGGATATTAGCATGAAACTGGTTTGGAAGTAGAGTACCCAAAACTCAGATTACCATTGCAATATAGAATGTGGGTATCTAAAGCGATGACTAACAAAATGGAAAACCTAAACAAAGTCAAGATTCCTGGATGCATACAATATACCAAAATTGAGTCATGAAAACACACAGAAAACCTAAACAAACCAAAAAATAAGACAAAGATTGAATCAGTAATAAAGACCTTTCCAACAAAGAAAAGCCCAGGACCAGACAGCTTCACTGTTGAATTCTACAATTTCTTCTCAAGCTATTAAAAACAACTGAAAGGGAGGGAATCTTGCCAAA